ATGTTCTGCTCTGGCTGCGGGAGGCAAAGCCGGCAGGGGCAGCCCAGGCGGAATTCGAGTGGTCAAGCTCCGCCCCCGCCGGCTTAACCGGCCTCCACCTCTGCTGCCCTCTACCCTCATCTTCATTCCCCACCCCTACCCCAGCACTGCCCGCTGCGCCCCCTCCCCCGCAGCAGGTCCTCTGGCCGGCATCTCCCCACCTAGGCTGACTCCCCTCCCTCATTTTCTGGGCTCGCCCCGGTCCTCGCGCGGCTTCCTTGCCACCATCCTTGCCACCAACCTTGACTCCTTGCTCGCCCTAAGCTGGTTGAGGATCGCGCAGGACTCAAGACTGAAAGGAGATCTCCGTGCAAATTCTATCTTACTTCCCCCCCCCCCACCGTCTTCAGAGTGTTTTCACCCACCCTTACCCTAGCCACCCTTTACCCCTAATTCAGGCTCTGTCTTCTGACAGCAGGTTCCCCCACTAAGTTAAAGGCAGAATTTTGCATTTGGCAAGGTCACTGGGGAAGACAGGAGTCTCCATCGGGATGCTGCTCGGAGACCCAGGCTAGGGACTCGCAGGTGTGTTTGCAAGTTTTGCGTCTGAGCATCCTAGACACCTTCAGGAAGGCCAGGCTCCGAGGGTGCGCAGAGGCGGGGGAGGCGTTTTTCCCAGGTAGAAGGAGAGGCAGCGGGTTCACTTTGTCACTTCGTTCCCAGAGAGCAAGCAGAACGAAGCGCCCTCGGGCTGCCGGCAAGGGCATAGACCAACTTAGAAACCGGACTTATGCAAGCCGGGATGTAGGCCACTGACTCCCTTTCCGTCTTTAGCCTCTGGGGTTCCCAGGGGGCTTGGAAAAGAGCACAAGTCCAGGCAGAGCGCTGCAGGGATTGTGGAGGGGGGCGGGAGGACACGGGTCTCCCTTGCTCATTCAGGAAAAATTCCTTCTATAGCCCAGGGAAGTGTTGGGGGGCTTCCAGGGCTACTCAATGCCAGTTGCTTCCTCAGGCTGGGGAATTTAAGGCCACAAGTGACCTGTGCCTTTGTCCTCCCTTCCAATTGGTTTTATGACTTTGGCAAAAGAAAGAACATCACAGAACGGTGCAGCCTCTCCAGGGCCCTGGGTGGGAACCCCTTCCTTCCTGTAATCCCTAGGCATGTAAAGCTACCCTAACTGGCCGTGCTGTGGAGGCTGCCCCTGGTGCGGTGACTGGAGGGAGAAAAGTGCGTACCCTTCCCCCTCCCGCAATGCATTTCAAAATGGAATGAAGTGATGGCTCCATGTAATTAACTATTGAGACACAGCAAAAGCACCAAAATGACTCAGCCAATTGTCTCCAGATGGGGTTGGAGAGGCTGCGATTGTTTAACTCTCTTTAGCAGGGTTAGGACTCCGAATAGCCTGGCAGCAGAGGGTCCTCCGGGGCACAAAGGCTGGGACTCCAGTGAGTGCATCAACACTGAACCCGGCTGGCCCAGTGCGGAGAGAGTGAATTCTTGGAGACCCTCATTGTCCCAGGCCTTTGTGCTTCCCCCCAGCTGGCTGTAATCTTTAAATATTTACCCGGCCCCTTTGTGCCCATATGACTTATGCACTTTGGACTGATGTGCTTATAAATTACGAGTCATTTACCAGACTGTGGGGAGGGGGCTTTCATGCCCGGAGCAGGCAGAGGCCAGAGGAAGGGAAAGGAAAAAAAAAAAAAACTTTTGGAGGGTCAGAGTTAGCTGCAGCCACACTGGATAGACCGCTCCTGGCCTCTGTGTGAAAAGTGGGTGGGGCAGAGGCCTGTGAGTGACAAGGAGTCCCAGGAGACCTCTCTGACAATGTCTGACCGCCTGACCGGAGACCCCCCAGCAGGAAGGAGGGAGAGGCAGAGTTCCCGGACTGTTTCCGACTCCATGTCACGCTTGGACAGGAGTCAGCTTTTCATCCTGGGAAGCTGGTGTGGGTGGAGGTGCCTGGTTAGCACCCATCCTTGCCCGTGTGTCCTACTTGCTCTGCAGTATTTCCTCTTGCTACAATTCCTCTTGTTCAATAAAGCAACCCTGTTTGAAAAAAGGGAGCCTAATTTCATCTCAGCCTGCAGTTTAACTTGAAAAAGTCGATATGGTTCTTAGGGCTCTTTAAAACTCTTGTTGGAAAAAAAAACCCAAAAACTCTTCTTGGGCCCAGGATGGAAAGCTACCTCAGCTGTTCGGTGGGTGGCTGGCTGGCTGGGGGTGGGGTGAGGAGGGGAGGCCCCAGAGAAGGACTTTCCTGCATGAGAAAGGGGTCCCTTTGTGCATGCCTTACAGCTCCTAGAACAAAACACATTCAAATGCTTATTTGGAGGGGGGAGGTGTGTGGACAAAAACAAGCAAGGCATCTTCAGACCAAGCAGTTTTTCTTTATTTTCTTTTATTATTGTAGGTGTGCTGCTCCTTTATCCTGGGGGATGACAAACTGGAGGGACACTTGGAGAGCTGCGTGGTGAATGGACTTGTCTGATCAGCTCCCTTTCCTCTCTGGTGGCAAAACCTGTTTGATCAGGTGTGATCTGTGTTTTGAGTTTCTGTCTGTATCTGTGTTACTCACTCTTCCTCTGTGTGCCTGTATCTCCATGTGACTCTGTTTCTCTGGGTCTATGTCAGTGCATGCATACATTTGATTACTTGCTTTTACCTTCCATCACTCCCCTGTGAACCCTGGGTCCTGACAGATTCAGAACTCTAGTAGTGTCAGTCATGTACGACTCTTTGGGACCCTATGGACTGTAGCCCACCAGGCTCCTCTGTCCCTGGAATTCTCAAGACAAGAATAGTGGAGTGGGTTGCCATTTCCTTCTCCAGGGACTCGAGTGACTTCGAAAAATTCCCCTGCACCCCTGGCCTGGCCCCACCTGGGAGGGGATGACCTCCCCGTTCTCTCTGCCTTCTCCATGATGAGACTGATGGAGAGGTATGGTCCAAGGAGAACTGATGGGCAGAGAAGAGACAGTTGCTTAAGCCCTCCAGTCTGGATTACATGTTATTCTGTGCCCCTCCCCCAGAGCAGGAACTGTCCCTGGGGCAAATCAGATCCACTAGTCAGCATGGAAAGCTGATGCCCCTGGCTAGAAAGGGAGCCTCCCCGGAGCAGCCCTGTACCCCAGGACCAAACTCACTCCCAGGAGTGAAGATGCAATAAGCACCCTCTAGTGGCTGTGAGGTGTCCTGGCGATGCTGGAGAGGTCTTTTTTTTTTTTTTTTTGGAGAGGTCTTGAGTAGGGGAGCTAGTAGAAACTGGGGGCAGTGGCAGGAGTCCCTGCTCTCAGCCCCCAGAAAAGGCCCAGACTTCCTTCCCACATGACACTGCAACTGGGTGACATTAGATTTTTAAAACATTAAATCTTTCAGTCCCCATCTACCGAGTATAGCAAATGTCTTCTGAGCACCTTTTAGACAGATACTGGGCTTACAGATCATCAACAGGAGACTGGAGTCAGGATCCCCATTTCACAGAAAGTTGAGGCTCATCGAGGTGACTTGCCCAAGGTTACAAAGCTGCTGAGCCAGGCTCTCCATCCTCCACTGAACCCAGCTGTCCAAACACGAGGCCTCCTGCCAGGTCCCACAAAGACAGAGAGGGGTAGGGTGGCCAGAGCCTCAGATGCAGGCTGGGCTGACCACTAGGTGGGCCAGGCATATCGCTCTCTGACCCACTGCTCTGGGTTCCAGTCTCCCCTGGGGCCTGTCCCCTATCCTGCTTCAGGCTGGCTTCCTCCTGCCTCTGTGTTTGCAGACTCGGTCCCCTCCCTATCTCTCTCTCTCCTGTAGCTGCCCTTGCTCTCATTTCCAGCAGCAGGCTGCCAGTACCAACTCTCCCAGGCAGATTCCTACCCCTCCCATGGGTCTCTCCCTGGGGTCCCTCTCATTCCCGCTCTATGCTCTATCCTCACTTGGTTCCTGCCTCACTCTCATCCCACAATAATTTATTCTAGTCATTTGCTTACTTGCCTTTCTCCATCATCCGTCCATCACCCGAAGTGGAGGCATTTGCTCTTCCAAAAAGGAACAATTTTTCTTTAGTTTTTTTTTTTTTTTTTGCTGTGACTTGGCATGAGGGATCTTAGTTCCCTGACCAGGGATGGCACATTGGCCCCCTGCATTGTAAGTGTGGACCGCCAGCCAGGAAAGTCCAAAAAAGAGCAATTTTTAATTATAAAAGAATATATATTGATTTGGGCCATATGGGAAATACACAAACCATATAAAAAAGATAGCTAAAGTCTCCCAGAGTTCCCCAGCACCAGAAGATTACTGCTGTGAAATATTTTGGCTTCTATTCCAATCATTTCCTCAGGTTCATCCGTATACTTTTGTTTTTCCCAAGTGAAGTCAGGATCACACTGAAAAGTTTTTTATTCTGTCCTATAAAATAACGTCCTGAGGATTTCCACCGTACGCCAACATTCTCCCCCGACAGGAAGTGAAGTGGGCGGTCATCCCGCTGCGTGAATGCGGCAAGGGCAGCTCGGAGACCCTGCCGAGGGCAAGGCGGTCCCTGCGCGCGCACCTTGCGGGGCCTGCCGGGCAGGGTGGGGTGGAGGCGGATCGCCGGCTCACGCCTGCACGCCCAAGTGTCGGTTTCGCGGGGGACCACGCAGCCGGGGAGAGGGGAAGCTATCGATTTCATGTGATTTCTCCGGACAAGGGAAATCCTGAAGTTTGGAGCCGACTCCTGGCGGTAACTTCTCGGCTCAAGACCCGGCTCCCCGCGGCGCCTCCCTCCGCTCCGCCTGGGTCAGGCGGTCCGGGTTGGGGGCACAGTGGGGCGGGGCCGCGGGGCGGGGCGGGGCCGCAGGGGCGGGGCGCTCCCGCCAAATTCAGGCCCCAGCCGCGCGGCGCGGCGGTATCGCGAGAGCTTTCCGGCAGCGTGCAGGTACGGGCGGCTGCCCTTCGCGGCCGGCGTCGGCGGCGCAGTGCGCAGGCGCGGCGGGCAGGTTTCCCAGGGCTACAGCCGGCGCTGCCGCCCGCTTGTCCGCCTCCCTGCGCCATGGCAGGCTGCGCGGCGCGGGCTCCGCCGGGCTCCGAGGCGCGCCTCAGCCTCGCCACCTTCCTGCTGGGCGCCTCGGTGCTCGCGCTGCCGCTGCTCACGCGCGCCGGCCTGCAGGGCCGCACCGGGCTGGCGCTCTACGTGGCTGGGCTCAACGCGCTGCTGCTGCTGCTCTACCGGCCGCCGCGCTACCAGGTGCGGGCCGGGCCGAGGGCCGGGGCGGGGATGGGGGCCGGGCGGGCTGGGCGTCGCGCGTGGGCACCGTACCCCGCCGGGGTCGAGGTCCAGGACGGCCCACGGCGCGGCCCGCGAGAGGGGCTGCCTCCTCCGGCCGTGTTCTTAAGCAGTTGCGAGTTCAGGCGGCGGGAGGGCGCCCTCCCCGCCAGTCTTGGGGGGCGTGGGGCGCGGGCCCCCTCCGCCCGGCGGAGTGGGTGGAAAATTGCAGTTGGCGCGGTTCAGCAGCTGCGGCAGATGAGCGCGTGGGGTGGGAGTGAGCGGGCCCACGAGTTCTTTTATGTAATTTGAGGTGTGGAGAACTGCCTACCTACTGTCAAGTCTGAGGTCAGAGGCCCCCGCAGTTACGTGGAGGGGGCTGGGCGCGGAGTCCCGGCTGTCCCGACCAGATTCGCTGCGTGGACTTGGGAGAATCCGGCCAGAACGCTAGGTTTACGCTGTTTTCCCACAGCCCTGAATAAAAACAAGCCTAATAGTAATGGCAGCTAAAAACTTCTATAGCACTTCCTCTTAAGTACTTTACATGGGTCATTCTCACAGCAGTCCTCAAAGGTAGGTACTGTGCTGATCCCCATGTGTAGATGGAGAAGCCCAGGTCCAGAGAAGTTAAGTAACTTGCCTAAGGCCACAGAGAGAGGGGAGTTTGGGATTTGAGTCCAGGCAGCCCTGCTTCACGCCTTTAACCTCTTAGCAAGTCGATTCAGTGGACTTGGTGGTGGCCTACTTAGGCCAGGAAGTAGGACATATGCTCTGAACAGCCAGGTGACTGAGTCTCTTTTGGGTCCGTTTCAGATAGCCATCCGAGCCTGTTTCCTTGGCTTTGTGTTTGGCTGTGGAGTGCTGCTAAGTTTTAGCCAATCTTCCTGGAATCACTTTGGCTGGTAAGAACTGCTTTGGGAACCATAGTTGTGAGTCACGGGTGGGTGGATCAGAGGGTCAGTAGTGATGGTCCTGTGTCCCTGACTGGCTGAAGGCTAGTGAGGGTTCTGAGGGATTGAGGCCTCTAGCTTCCTAGATTCCTGCATCCTGGACCTCGCAGGTAGAAGGAGGTCTCTCGTGGCATCCTCCCCGTAGGTGTCGTCATCCACTGCACCTTCAGTAATGTGACCAGCCCTTCCCAGAAAGAGGGTCTTGGTCCTCAGTGACGGGAAGGGGCAAGGCTCTGGCTCGTCTTCACAGGCCTTTTCCGTCTCTAATTTCTATTAGGTCACATCTAATGCTTCCCCCACGGCCTGTGTAGGATTTTCCCTACACTATGATTTCAGTCCCTTGAGCCTTCTAGTCCCTGACCTGGATATGAACCAGTGGCTTCCAGGTAAAAACTTTATCTCCTATTGTCGATACTCTGAGCCATCTAATCCTCCTTTGCTGGAATTATTTCGGTTTTTTGGATTTTTGTATTCGACATACATCACTACTTTATTTTGATACTTCCCCCTTTCATGTTTTACTGTGTGTAACGTCATTTTTCTTTTAAAGGCAGAAGGCCCATAATGCCTTCCTAACCTATGTTTTTCTTTTTTTCCCCCTCCTCCTGTGATATTCAAAGACGTAGTCCCTTTACAACCCCACTTTCTGCAAACCTCAGGGAGTAATGTGGGTGCCTGTGCCTGATATCCACTCTCAGGTGACAATAGAATCTCATCAGAGAATTCAGGGACAGTTCAGAACAAATCAGCACTTGGACTTGTGGCTTATTTAATTCTCTTGCCTCAACTTACCTCATGTTCTTTTTGTTTTTAAATAGGTATATGTGCTCCCTGTCATTGTTCCACTATTCTGAATATTTAGTCACAGCAGTCAATAACCCCAAGAGCCTGTCCTTGGATTCCTTTCTCCTGAATCACAGTCTGGAGTACACAGTCGCGGCTCTTTCTTCTTGGATAGAGTTCACACTTGAGAATATTTTCTGGCCAGGTTAGTGTGCCCTGCTCTTCCCTCTCCAGGGTGGCCTCCACGGGGGCCTGAGGACAGTGACCTGGCGTTACCTCCCAGGTCTAATCTCTTCGAGTGATTTTCCCCAGATCTCTATCCTCACTAAGCTCTTTATAAAAGGCGAGCTTCGCTTGTGAATTCCACCTCTGGATTTTGAATGGGGGACATGTTGACCTTTCGCTTTAAGCCCTGTGAGACAGAGTTTGCACCATCTAACATGAAGTTTCAGCCTCTGATAGCTGTAACCCCAGTTTTATAATCAGGGGATCTGGATCTGTTCATTTTCTGCGACTTGAGAAATTTCATATGAAAATTTCTACTAGCAAAAACCACTGCATCTGGTAGCTACTCTGACACTGAACTTTGTGCAACAAGTTAAATAGCATGTATGTAGTTCCTCAGATTCAGTAGAGGGCCAGGGTGGGAAATGCTGAGCCTTCTTTGCTTCACTTAGCTGCTCTTGTCCCCAGAGGAAGGATGGGAGCCCATCAGCTCTTTGCCATGATACTCTAACTGGACTGTTGGTGCTTCCGAGTAAATGGATGAACAGCACGACTTTGGGGGATGTGTTCTGCTCATAATTAAGCTTCAGTATGATGACCGATGCTGACCCCACCACCACCAGCGTGTTTTCTAGTGCCCCATCTTTGGAAACAGGTCAATTTGAAGCCTGCAGAGGCAGAGCTCAGTGGTCCAGGGTCTTCACTCTCCCTTTGTCGCCATCTCTGTCCTGCAGAACTGAAGCAGATCACCTGGATCAGTGCCACGGGGCTGCTGATGGTGGTGTTTGGAGAGTGTCTGAGGAAAGCGGCAATGTTTACAGCTGGTTCCAACTTCAACCACGTGGTGCAGAATGAAAAGTCAGAAACCCACACTCTGGTGACCAGTGGGGTATACGCTTGGTTCCGGCATCCGTCCTATGTCGGGTGGTTTTACTGGAGTATTGGAACCCAGGTATGGTGTCAGAATCAATGCCAGTCCCCTTTAAAGTTTTTAAAAATAATATCTTAAATCGACAGATAATTCAAATACCGTGAAATTCACCATTTCAGAGTGTACGATTCAGTGGATTTCAGTGTATTTACAAAGTTGTTGGTTCTCCCCCCGCTTTTCTTTTTAAAATGTTGTGTTTATTTATTTATTGGTGGTGCCGCGTGGCTTGTGGGACCAGGGGTTCCTTGACTGGGGTCGAACCTGGGCCCTGGACAATAAAAGCAGAGTCCTAAGCACTGGACCACCAAAGAATTACTTGTTGGTCCTATTCTTGTTTTTTATTTTTATGAATTTATTTGTTTTTGGCTACTCTGGATAGCCTCTGCTGCTCGTGGACTTCCTCTAGCTGCAGGGAGCAGGGGCTCCCCTTCCGTGTGGTGCTCGGGCTTCTCGCGGACATGGCTTCTCTTGTGGATCTCTGTCTGCTCTAGAGCACAGTAGTTGTGGCACACAGGCTTAGTTGCTTGAGGCATGTGGAGTCTTCCCAGACCAGGATAGAACCCTATCTGCGTCGGCAGGCAGATTCTTGACCACTGGGCCACCAGGGAAGTCTTGGTCCTTTTTATATAGATACACATGGTCCCTGCTGTGTTTCAAGTGATAATTGAATAAAAGTTAAAAGAACTGATTTAGTCTTTAACATTTTTTGCTGTATACTTAAAACCCGGGTGTCCCAAACTTGTAAACGCTCGGTGATTCTGGGTGCTGTTGCCCCATCTTTCGTACCCCTTTAACTTAGATTTGGAGCCTCACCCAGTGGGGTGAGGACAGAGATGCAGATGTGGGGAGAGCCCTCCTGCCACTCAAGGGGCAGCTTAGCTGATTTTCATTAGAAGCTGCTATTAATGAGCCCTGATGGCGCTGGTGGTAAAGAACCTACCTGCCAATGCAGGAGACATAAGAGATGCAGGTTTGATCCCTAGGTGGAGAAGATCCCCTGGAGGAGGGCATGGCAACCCTTTCCAGTATTCTTGCCTAGAGACTCCCCATGGACAGAGGAACCTGGCAGGCTACAGTCCGTAGGGTCGCAGAGTCGGACACAACTGAAGTGACTTAGCACGCAGCACAGCACACACAGCACACTAGTGAGCCCAGAGTTGTGTGTTAGGTTTAATGTGAGTGACGGAGGTTTGCTGTGTCTTAGGCTGCAGGCTGAGTCTTGTTTCTGGACAGTTGTTTCTTGAATCTGTTCTCTTCGACCTAGAAGGACTTGGCCAGAGTGTGTGGGTAGAGCTTAGCAGATTCATCACCTCTTTGGGAACATCCAGTCTGGGCCCCAGGCATCCCGTTGCACGCTGGTACCTGGGGACCCTCTGGTGACCCCCAGTGGTATAGAAGGGGCAGGTTCTTGTGCGGCTTTCATTTTAAAACTTGCATTTCTGCAACTTCCTGTGTTAACAGTCACATCCTCTGGCTACAAACTGATTCCAGAGGAATCATGTAATTTGCCATAAATGCTGACTAGTAAACATAAGTGCTCTAGGACTCAAGGTTTTGTTTTCCTTTTTAAATTTATTTGGCTGTGTTAAGTCTTCCCCAGGTGGCTCAGACAGTAAAGAATCTGCCTGCAGCGCAGGAAATCCAGATTCAATCCCTGGGTCGGGAAGATCCCCTGGAGAAGGAAATGGCAACCCACTCCAGTGTTCTTACCTGAGAATTCCCATGGACAGAGGAGCCTGGCGGGCCACAGTCCCTGGGGTCGCAGAGTCGGACAGGACTGAGCGACTGAGCACGCACGTGCCAGGTCTCAGGTGTGGCACGCTGGCCCTTTGCTGTGTCCTGGGGAATCTCCGTCGCAGTGCACACCGACCGCTAGTTGTGGGCTCAGCAGTTGCCTTGCGGCATGTGAGGTCTTAGTATCCTGTTGGGATCGAACCCACATCCCCTGCATTGGAAAGCAGATTCTTAACTAGTGGACCATCAGGGAAGTCCCTCAAGAGGTTTTCACATCTCTCTGACTGTAGATCTTTTTATACTGTGACCCAGCACACAGGTGTATGTGAATGCAGAATAAATCTTTTCTGAAACAGCCCTTACCCTGCCGGTGTACAAAACATGCTATGTTCGAGCAGTTAGTGTTTGCGACGCTGTTTCTGATGCAGGGGATTGATTTCGCTCCATGGCGGGCTGTGACCTAAGAGTGGGAAGACCCACTGTAGGGTGTGCTGAGAGGCCTCACGTGCCTGCCGCCGGGTGGGTCCCAACTCTGACATCCACTCCTTGGCCTCCCTTAAGTAGGGTGGCAGCACCACCTCAGAGGCTTGCTCTGGGGGTTGAATGGCTTCCTGGTCGGTGGTAAAGGGCTTGGCCCGTGCTGGGAACACAGGAGACACTCAGTAAACAGTGGTGAGAATAAGAAGTGAGGTCTGGTCACCCATGGGGGGAATCACATCCTGGGCAGGTTGGGGAAGGGAGGTCAGAAGGCCTCCTGAGCTGCACAGAAGTGGGCCAAGAAGCTACTTTTCTGGACTTTGAAAGCTGTGCTAAGGAGGCACGATTCTGAGCAGGGGGAGTGGTTTCCAGGGAGGACAGTGTAGAGTGTGCATGGGGAGGCTGGGCTGGGGGCAGAGGACCAGGGAGCTGTGGGGTGGGAGGGAGCAGGTCCTGAGGTGTTGGGTCAGGACAGGAAGTGGTCAAGCTGGAAGCCAGGGGGGAAGGCAGTGGTGCTTACAACAGGAATTCACACGTGGGGTCGCCCTTGTAATTTTTAGGTACCTGTCAGGTAAGAGGAACAAGAGAAAAGCAGACCAGCCAAAGCTACAGCGACAAGTGTTCAGTTCTGTTATGAACATGCTGGTGTGACTTCAGTTCATGGGGCTCTGGCCCTGGGCTCAGGATCTCCAAGACCCTAGTCACATATCTCGAGAGTCCCTCGGGGCCCTTGACAGGAAGTCCTCTGTGGGTGTTGGAGAGCGGCTGATGCCCTTCAGGTTCATGGTGTGAAATCACACTGACCCTGGCCCACTAACTCTGTGTTCCCTCTGTCAGGTGATGCTGTGTAACCCCATCTGCGGGGTGAGCTACGCTCTGACAGTGTGGCGGTTCTTCCGCGACCGGACAGAGGAGGAAGAAATCTCGCTGATCCACTTTTTCGGAGAGGAGTACCTGGAGTATAAGAAGAGGGTGCCCACGGGCCTGCCTTTCATAAAAGGGGTCAAGGTGGAGCTATGACAGGCCCAGGGTGGCCCAGGCCAGGCCGGGGGGGCCTCCCGCTCCTTGCAGCCTGGGGACAGAACTGCCTCCTGTCGACCACTCTGCAGAATGGATTTTCTTAATCATTTTCTATGTCACCAATTACTCTTCCGGAATATCACTCAAAATCAAATGGTCAGAAGGCCTTAGGACCAAAGGAACCCCCACCCTCAGCCCCCTACTCCCCACCGCCCTGGAGCAGCCTGCTCTTGGGCTGAATCAAGGTAGGACGTAGATTAAAGATGGACAAGAAGCAGATAACAGCAATACCCAGCAGCACCCCCCAAACGTGCCTGGGGAGTGCCTCGGCCACACTTCAGCCCCCCACGAGGCCAGGGGTGTTGAGTTATAATCAAGACCCCTGGGGGGAGAGGTGAGCTCCCCCCTCACGTGAGTGAGGCACCTGCTGCAGGAAGGGGCGCACGGGCATCAGTGCTTATTAGTGTTAAGACACGTTCAGAATCCTCACTTTAACCGAAAAACAGAGACAGCACAGCTTTAACCTCCTTATTTCCGTCCTTACATGCGTGAGCTTCTCTACAATTTGAGATGCTTCCTTTGGTTCCTCACATATCTCATCCTATTTACTTATATATTTTTTAAAAATAGCAGTATAAACTCAAAGAGGACTTAACATGGTGTATGAGCCTCACACTTTATTCGGCAGAAAGGCAGCATGGATGCCCCCAATGACCTGGCTGAGGCTTCAGGTTACCAAGGCTCTCCGCGCCAAGGAGATGGTGGGCCCCTGTGGCTTTCTGAGGGTCCTGGCACCTGCTCTCCTTCCAAAAGGGCCTGGCGTTACCAGTGACAGGCGTGTCAAAGATGTGTCATTCGTCCTTTATCCAAGAAAAGTTTCCTGGACACCTGCTCTGTGCAAGGCATTGTTAAACATTGAGAAATACTGCTCTCCGTTTATTTGAGGTTTATTCTTATTTTACCATAGCTATATTTTTGTGTTTTGACTTAAATGTATTAACCATTGATTCCTATGGTCTGTTCTCAAACTTCTATCATCCCTAATGCCATTTCAGACTGTCTTTTTTCGAAGGGGTTTGAGCATAAGCAACTATAAAATTCCAGCAAGTCGACTCATGAAAAAAATAGAGCTGAGATTTAATCACTGCTTTTTTTTTTTGATTTTTTTTTTTTTCCCATTTATTTTTATTAGTTGGAGGCTAATTACAACTACTTTTGTTTTTCAAGTTTGGGGAGAGTGGTTGGCTCTACGAGTCCGAGCTCTGAGGCGCTTGTTGAATTCTGGATTAGAGAGAGGAAACTGGTCGCAGTGTGACTTCTGTCCACGAAGCCCTGCGGTGGCGCCTTGGAGTGTGGATCGAGGGCAGCGTCGGCGCCTGACTGGAGCACTGCTGCGCCATGCCACCTGGCTTTCAAGGAGTCACTAAACCCTTCTGTGCCTAGACCTCCCCATCTGTAGAATGGGTCCATACCACCTACCTCACAGGGGTGTTGTGAAGACGTAGAAGAACAATGTCAAATGTTTTTAACACTTTGGTGAGAGAGATGACAAACACAACCAGTACTGTGTGAGTTACATAAAACTGGACATTGGATTCACTGTACCAATACCGGAAACGTGTGTTCAAAACATCTTACCAACTCAAAATGCCATTTATTTCTAGATTTCCTGGCCGAATTAGTTTTTTTCATGATTATATATACCAAAGAGGTGTACGGGTACGAGGGGTGTGACACTTGCTGGAGGGAGGACCCGACCGACTACAGCCTTGGCCTCCTGAGGTCTTGCCTGCCAACAGCCCAGGCAGCAGCCTCAAGGCAGTAGGTTCCTCTGGCGGGAACGCTGCCTGGTGGGACGTCAGATGCACTTAGTGTGTGTGAGGATTGAATCAGTCCTAAACTTGTTCCCCAGGCCACGCTCAGCAAAGTCAACCCACTTAGTAGGACTGCAGGATGGAGGTGGGTGTGGCTGCAGCTTTGGCAGCGGCCCCTACTCTCCAAGGCAAAGTTCTTGCTGCAGCTAGCCGGATAGGACCCAGCTTTCCTCAACACTGAGGGCTGTGAGGCTGTCTTTAGTACATGGAGAGCTGCTAATAACGCCTGGCTTTGTGGACCGAAAGACTGAAGGCGTTAGCCTCTGATAGTCTGTCCCTCCTCCACCTGCCTGCCAGGTTGGGGGCTCAGGAGGCCGGCCCTGGTGTCCTACGGAGATGCTGTCACACTATCCACCCGGGCTTGACAGGACGTTCTGCCCTGCTTTGTCCCTCAGGGCGGAAATCAGCAATTACTTAGGGATCAGAGATGAACCGCTTTGGGACAGGCTTTGGCAAGCGATCGACATTCATCTAGCACTGAGATCTTCAGGTTATTTTTAACTTCATAAATTTAGCAGTGCCAGTGTGCAGGAGGAGAATCAGGTTAATGAGGTACAGGCTTTTTGGGTATTCCCGAAAGCTTTTCTTTGGGTAAGGGCCACATCACCAGTTCCCTCCAATTAAGAAACCGTCAGGAGACTTCTTTTTCCATCCCAGGTTTCAAAGTGGAGACTCTGAAATGGAAGAGAGGTGCCGCATAGAACAAAGTTGTTTGGGAGCAGTGTAAAAACACTTAATGAGAATTTGCAGGCTGGGGCCAAGAATGCTGGTTTATGGAAAGAAGTTGTGGGGCGAACCTGACAGTAGGCAGCATACCCCACCACCTTTTCATGGTCGTGAGCTGTTTTGTACACCTAAAAAGTAAACTCTATTAATCCCTTTAACTAACTCTGGTTGGTCATCATGATGGGGAAACATCCCTGAACCCAGGGGTTGCATTAATAGTAGGGTCTCCTTTTGGTAGCAGCCCCTCCGTGATGGGAATGGTGACTCTCTGGCCCTTCTCTGCACTTTCTTAACTGCCTTAGATAGTTGTGCTCTCTCTCTGCTCCGCGTTTTGCTTCTATAGTGACTTAGCAAGGCCGGGCCACCCCCAGCCTGTCTGGCTTGGGGGGTGGGGGTGGGGGGAGACTTGCTGTCAGTCTGTGCCCTCCTGGGCTCGCTCCCATGGGTCTGTCCCATAGCTAAGCTAGGAGAGTAACCTTACAGAGTAATTGCTCTTTTTACATGCAGAAATGTTTATTTAAATATTGGATTTTCTTTCACAGATACTGATGGTTTCCAATTCTTAAATAAAACTGTACTTGATTTCGCTATGAACAACAGTGTGACTGTGTGGGATTCAGAAACTCTTAAGGTCTTGTTACTTCCAGTTAAGAAATGTCCAGAACCTACAGCATAAAGCCAGATGTGTCTGCCTCCTCCGTTCAAGTTCTGAATTCCTTCCTCTAAGCTTGTGTTCCTCCTGCCCACACCCTCTCACCACTGTGGAGGTCTGCCCCTCCCTCCCCCAACCCGGGAGGTCTGTGATGGCTTTGGGATGGGACCTGGGAGCACACAGCAGGTGTGCAGGCCTTGGATGCTGATGTGACCAGTGGGACCTGCAGGCCCACCTAGCACATGAAAGCCACCTGAATCACTAAATCAAGCTGGTATTTGTTTAAGATGTGACTCGGCATCATTTTGCCTCCAGAACTTTGAATGTTAGGTCATGCAGATCGTTGTTCAGTGGCTTAGTTGTGTCAGACCCTGTGACCCTGTGGACTGCAGCACGCCAGGCTTATCGGTCCTTCACTATCTCCTGGAGCTTATTCAAACTCATGTTCATTGAGTCAGTGATGCCATCCAACCATCTCCTCCTCTGTTGCCCCATTCTCCTGTCCTCAATCTTTCCCAGCATCAGGGTCTTGCAGGTTAATTTGCACGTTTTAAGTGTTCTGTTTAAGTTCCACTTGAAAAAAAGGCTACTGGGTAAGAATGAAAAACCACTGGAACAAAGTTGCAGGTGAATCATGCTTTAACATCATCAGAGGTGCACACACGAGAGTGACAGCAGGTGGGGACAGTCGTGGGTATGTGGGTACGGAGGTGGTTTTCTTCACTTTATGAGCTCAGCCCGGGCCCCACAGTGAGAAAAGCTGGAGCGAAGGTTTTTCCCCTTGGCTGAGTCAGCACTAGGATCACGATGATCCTAGTGATGAGCACTAGGATAACTTTCCAGCTAACAGCGGGGCCGTGGTTCAGAAGGAACAAGCTTCCTCTGAGGCAGAGTAGTCCAAGAGGCTCGTTCATGAAATTCAGAGGGTACACCTTGGTGGGAGCTCACAGCCCAGTACACAGGGAGGTGCGGGATGAACTGGGATGCCTCCTGGAGCCACTGTGATAAGGGTCAGGACTCTGAGCCACGAGAAGTCTAGCCTGTCAGAGAACCTGAAATGGGGACCTGCTGGAGTGTCTGGGTTTTACTGATGATAAATGATTACAAATTAAAAAAAAAAATAACAGGAACTGTCTTCTTAACTGTCCTAACCTTGATTGGCTTGTTGCAAAGTGCCTGACCCTGGAACTAGTCCCAGGCTAAGCTGGGCGTTCCCTCCGGGTGGAGACATCAGCCCCGTTTTTTGATTTGGGTCTGTGTGTGTCTTTGTTTTTCAGTGGAGGCTCCTCTGCAAGGCTGCCCAGAGCTCGGCTGTTTCTCAGCTCTGAGTTCTTCTCCTTCTTCTCTGTGACACTTACTGGATCGCTCCTAAAGAAACACTAGGCGTGAACCCCCTCTCCGCTCCCGTCCCCATCTCCCTGGAGTCCCAGCGCTAAAATCCACCCAGGCAGAGGCTTTCAGAGCAGCAAGCCTTCCCAAAGGGCACCTGGGGGTAACCACAGCAGAACTAGAACCACGTTGTCTCCTAAAGGACTCATCTTGCTTCTAAGACTTCTAGCTGCAAAAACGTCCACAGTTCAGACCGTTTCAGAGGTTTGTGACCCTGCTCTTTGAGTCAACCCTCCCCTGAAGCAGCTGCACTAAACGCAGTGCCTGGAGTGGTTGGGGCTGCTTTCTGCTCTGTCACCAACCCCACGGTGGCTTTGGACACAGCAGACCTCTCCCCACCCACTGGCCCTCTTAGCTCCAATTTCCTACAACTCCAGTGAAACACGAGATCTGCTTGTGACAGTGACACTCTCTTACTGCACATTCTTTTCTCCCTCTGGCAAGTATTTTGGCAAACACCGTGGCTCCAATGAAGGAAGAAATAACCCTCAGTCACTTTTTCTTGAGTCACATGGCGTAAGAGCCAGGGTGCTCAGAGGTGTATGGGGAAGGAAGGTGGCAGCCATGGCCATCCCTGGTTACAAAACTCTGGTCATGTCCATCCATGTCACATCTGTCATCTACAAGATCACTGGTTTGAAGGCACCACCCAGATTAAGAACCTCTCCGACCCCAAATTTTACGCACGGAGGCCCGGCCGAGGCTGTAGAGCTGGTCAGTGGCAAGCAGGGACCAAAAGGAAACCCGAAGTCTGTCTTTATCATCGGTGTTTGTCTCTGAGATTAAATCATTTGCCTGCTCAGGTTGAAAAGACCTGCTTTACCTGGCCGGGGCCTCAGCATTCACACCATCATCATGCATGTTTTGTGGATGGTCTGATGGTTCATCCACAGGGACCTGAAACCTGCGAGAGAGAAAGCAGTTCCCGGGGTCTGGATGCAGCAGAGCTGACCTGGCGTGGGGCCAGCCTGGTGTGTGTGCTCAGGTTCATGGCACAAACCCTGACCTGAGCACACCCTCAGAGCCCGCCTTGGGCTTTGGGCCTCGGATATTTACCGAGGGCCAAGGCCATAACAGTGGATGAGAGAGGCTGGGCCCTGCAGTCCTGGGAGCCCTGTTCTGGTTGGGGAGACATGCCAAGGTGGGGCACCGCAGGCCCGTATAGGGGGGCAGTGACTGTGAGTAAGACCTGCTTTCAAAAGGAGGGTTCAGGAAGGCCTCCCTGCTGATGCTCAAGCTGAGGCCTGGGTGATGCAGTCCCTGGAACAAGCTGAAGCAACAACATTCCAGGCAGAGGTGCGGAAGTGGGAGCCAGTCCAGCTTCTTTGCAGAACCAAGAGGCCATCATGACAGGTGTGGAGAGGGGCTGACGAGGACAGAGGTGGGCAGAGAGGGTCCCGAAAGGACTCTCAGGCCCCAGGTCACACTGACTGTAACCTGCTGGAGGGGCTAGGGTGGAGAGGGGGTTGACGATGGTGGCTTGGACTGGGGGCCCCAGTGGAGACAGAGCAGGTGGACCATGACAGCTGAGTCAACAGGATGTGGGGAGGGGTTAGCAATGGAGGTGAGTGGAGGAGGGGAATCATGTCTCCTGAGCTTTTAACGAGCTCCTGTGTGACTGTGATGCCTGCACTGAGATGAGACGGGAGTAGCTTGTCTAGGAGAAGAAAACTGAGCTCTTGGGGCACTTGTGGGGTTTGGGGTGCCCTGAGACATTGAAGCAGAGACCCCCAGGAAGGGGTACATGAAGATGAGTCTTGGGTGGGTCTGTGCTGGGGCAGTGGGTTGGGGGTCATCTGCAACACCATGGGGTTTTGGAGTTTTTAACTTTAAAAAAAATTGGGGAGACACACCATGCAGCATGTGGGATCTTAGTTCGCTGAGCAGAGATAGAACCCATGCCCCTTGCAGTGGAAGCACAGAGTCCTAACCAGTGGACAGTGAGGGAAGTTCTACCATGGGGTTTTAAAGCTGGGGGGGCGGGCTGGGTGAAGCCCCTTAAGGAGAGAGCACAGGATGAGAAGAGTGCCTGAGACTGAGCTCTGGGGAAAACTGACATTTGGGCACTGAGCCGAGGAGGTAGAGCCAAGCCGAAGGTACTAAGAAGGACTAGCTGGAAGGGTCGGAGGGAAGCTGGGAGGATGGGGTGTCTCAGAAGCAAGAGAAGAGCGAGATGAAGGCGACAGTCCAGGCTCATGATCACTGCTCCAAGGTCAAAGGATATAGCTGGAAGGTTGCCGATGATGGAACAAGAGCAGATCCAGGGCGTGGGGTTGAAGGGGGTTCTCAGCACTGGGAGGGGAGGAGGCAGTGGGCAACTCTAGATACCTGCAAAGTGGTCCACGAAGAAGGGGAGGGGCAGCCTCCCTGCTCACCCCAAACCCCCAGGGGCTGGGCTCCAGCCTGAGCTCCTTTCTAGTCACTGACACCAACCACAGATGCTGCTTCCCTACAGAGGTGTGACTGCCAGGGTATTGCCCCTTAGAGGCAGGCAGGAGCACACTACTGGCAGCCAACTGCTCACCAAAGCAGGGCACACGGAAGGGAAAGGATGCACACAGAAAGAGCGTGGGTTAGAATGGGCACACGGTGTGAACAAGTGGGGTCTGTGACACCACAATGTCACCTCCACTTAGAGGCCCCCAGGATTACGCCCATCCTGACTATAACACCAGAGGTTAGTTCTGCTTGGTTTTGAGGTTCTATAAATGGAATCACACAGTATCTGGAGTAAACTGCACTGAATGTCAGTCTAGGAGGACACTGTCATTAGTCCTGGGTGGATATGATCTAGGGATCTAGGGATGCAGGGATCTAGGATTTGATCAAGACTCTGCAAAAGGAGGACTTTCCTGGCAGTCCAGTGGCTAAGACTCCTCACTCCCAATGCAGGAAGTCTGGGTTGGATCCCTGGTCCAGGAACTAGATCCCACATGCTGCAATTAAGAGTTAGCATGTCACAATGAAGGTCCCACATGCCACAACTAAGACCCAGTGCAGCTAAATAAGTGAATATTTTTTAAAAACTGCAAAAAGTATGATTAGTGCAACCACTCAATGTGGCTTGTTAAAGTAGTCACTCAAAGGGTGGCTTGGGGCTTCGATGGTGGTTCAGTGATTAAGACTCCACCTTGCAATGCAGGGGACACTAGTTTGATCCCTGATCTGGGAAGATCCCACATGCCACAGGGCAACTAAGCCCATGGGCCACAACTACTGAAGAACCATGAAGAACCATGCTGTTAGAGCCTGTGCTCCACAACAAGAGAAGCCAACCCAATGAGAAGCCCGAGCACTGCAACTAGAATGTAGCCCCTGCTCACCGCAACTAGAGAAAGCCCTTGCACAGCAATGAAAAGCCAGCACGGCCAAAAATAAATATGTACATAAATATTTTAAAAAATAATAAAATTAAAAAAATAAAAAGTGGCTTGGCAGTTCTGGATTAATATAGCAATTGTGCACACACACTCTTAATTTTCCTCCTTCCCCAAACTCACTAAAACTAGTAAAGGGACCAAAATAATGAGGGGGGATGTCCTCTCCAGGTTGACAGTAGGAAAGAATAACAGCAAAATTTGGAAGCTGGAGAGCAGTAGATAAGTGTCCACTAATTCAGCAGACCCGAGAAGCTGAGGTCCCACCAGTTCCCACCACAGAATCCTTGGCGGGCTCAGGAACAGGCAGCCCCGTTGCCTCTGCAACTCAGGGGGTGGGACTGAAATAGGACAGTGAAGGTTAAGGTCCCTACCTCTGAACAGCTGCATCTCCCTAACCCTGAATTCTGAAAGGTTAGTCTCTGGGAGGATATGACACACAGGTGAGAACTACTGAAAATCAGAAAATTAGGTGTGCAGACAAATGATCCACATGGTGACCTTCCGGGAAGGAAACTGGGCAAAGATCTAAAACTGACATTGGGGCATTAGAAGAAATTAATCATGGGGCTTCCTTGGTGGCTCAGTGGTAAAGAATCCTCCTGTCAATGCAGGAGACACAGGTTCGATTCCTGGTCTGGGAAGATTCCACATGCTGCAGAGCAGTTAAGCCTGTGCTCCACAACCACTGAGCTTGTGTTCTAGAGGCCAGGAGGTGGAACTACTGAGCCCGTGTTCTACAACAGTGGACGTTCTACAACAGTGGACGCCTCCTCCATGAGAAGCCTGCTCATGGCAACTAGAGAGCAGCCCTTGCTCTCTGCCACCAGAGAAAAGCCTGAGCAGCCACGAAGACCCAGAAGAGCTAAAAGTAGAAAGAAAAAAAAAGGCAAAGCAAAAAAACCCCACCCACCCAGATGCCTCGCATGACCCACATGCTCAGAGCTTGAACCTGCTCTCCCCGACCTCACTCCTAACATGAAGAGGCAATCAAAGATTTCCTGACATCTGAGAAGAGCCTTTAACATGGAAGGTAGAAACTGAAACAAACAAAAAGTAACTTGGAGGAAATAGCCTTCAGGGAGAAGGAAACTTAAAAAAAAAAAAGGCAAAAAAATCTATCAGCTCCCAAAGAGGTTAGATGTCATGTCCATGAAACAACTGAATGCTGTGTAACTAGAGCAGTCAGGGTACCAAAAACACCTCTTTGGAAGTGAAAGCCAATTTATAACATTTAAAAGAGCTCTTGGGGACTACCCTGGCTGTTCAGTGGCTTAGATTCTGTGCTCTCAATGCAGGGAGCATGGGTTCAATCCCTGGTCTGGGAACTAGATCCCACATGCCACAACTAAGAGTTCAAGTGCCACAACTAAAGATCACACATGCAGTAATGAAGATTTAAGATCCCATGTGCTGCAACTAAGACCTGGTGCAGCCAAATAAATAAATATATTTTTAAAAATAAAAGAGCTCTTGGAAATTTTCTTCAAAAATGAACTAAATACACAAGTTGGAAGATAAATGAAGAAATCTCCCAGAAAGTATGGCAGATAAATGAAGAGATAGAAAAAAGGACTGAAAAGGGAAGGTAAATCAGAGGACCAGCCATAGAAGTCCGGTATTCAATAAGAATTTCAGAAAGTGGAGAAAAAAGCGGAGAAAATCAATTAACCAGTTCAAAAAGAAATATGCCCAGATAAGGACACATATTTCCAGATTGAAGGGACCCACTGGTACCCAATGGATAAAACTTTTGCTATTGTTTAGTTGCTAAGTCACATTCTATTCTTTGCAACCCCATGAACTATAGCTAGACCTGCACCAATATGAAATTTTATAACACTGGGAGCAGAGAAGATTCCACAAGCTTCTAAAGAGAATAAGTAGGTCACATTACAAGGATTAGGAATCGTAATGCTTTCAAACTTCTCAAAGACAACCCTGGAAGCCAGAAGACAGTAGAGTAGTGCCTTTAAAGGAAATAATTCCCAGTCTAGAATTTCCAACTAGAATTCAATACCCAGCAAAACTATCAGTCAGTCAAGCACGCAGGCAGAATAAAGATACTACAGGAACTTCCCTGAAGGTCCAGTGGTTGAGACTCGAGGGTTCCAGTGCAGGGGACAAGGGTTCAATCCCTGGTTGGGAATAAGATCTCATGTCTCGCAGTATGACCAAAAGATAAAAAGAAAGAAAGATACAGCAGGCTTGTGCTGTTCAAAACATGTCTGTTCCATCCTCTCAAGATGCTGTTTGGAGGATAGGCTCTACCAAATCATGAACAAGGACATGTGGCATATTTGAATCAGGAGATCTCACTTTGGGGCAAGGCAAATGGAGTCCCCTGGAGGGTGTTAGAAGGAGAACCCAGGCTGACCACTGTGTACCAGTGCTACAGGGCAACCACTGTGGGGCTTGTGACCTGAGAAGCAGGCACATTGATGACTTGCCACCAAGAAACCCTCTGCCCCCTTACACTTCCAGTGCCCAAGGATGGTGCTGAGAGCCTGATCCAGGTCCCTGTCTAGACTTGGCTTAATCATGGGCTGGGGAAGTTCTCTCTCCTCTGTGTCCCGCTGCCTGAATCAGCTAAAGATCCTCCTTTCACCTCCAAAAGTGTAAAGAGGTGGGTGATTGTGTGCCTAGAAGCAGAAACTCAGAGCAGCCCACGCATTCTGTGTTTTAGCAGAGGTCCAGCACCTGACCTGCCCAGATCATGACCTGGCCCACTTCCCTGATAGGGGCTCTTCCAAAAATGTGGCACTTTCTCTATCCACATCCAGAAGTATCTTGGTTCCCCCAGAATACCTCCAGTCTCACCTGGGCTCCAGTCGCTCCTTCACCTTGGCAATGGAGCGGACGTAGGGTGTGATTTGCTTGGTGATGGTGGTCAGGTAGGCATTCTCCTGCTTCAGCTGGAGAAGGTCATGGAGCTGGGCTGTGGGGGCCCAGGCCAGAGCATGAGGTCTTGTTGGCTTCAGATCCTCACTCTCCAGCCTCAATTCATGTAAATATCCCAACTATTTGAGTGATTACCTCTAATTAAAGCATGAGGTAAGATTCCTAAAGTCATCCTACTTACTGAATTCTGACCTCAGATATATTTTTTGGGGGTCAGTTAGCAGCTGTGAGTCAAGAACTAAGTGGGGGACTTCCTGGTGGTCCAGTGGCTAAGACTCCACACTCCCAATGCAGAGGATCCAGGTTCCATCCCTGGTCAGGGAACTAGATCCTCCATACCACAACTAAGACCCGGCACAGCCAAATAAATAAGAGTTTGGGAGTTCGAATCTGGTTATTGGGTAACTGGCTTCCTGCCCCTGAAAGCATGTGGAGGGGGAGCACTCAGCAGCAGCTGCCCGGGACCTTCATATATCTCCTGTTCGTTAGCCACCCGCTGGTAGGAGTCCTCCCAAATCTGAAAGAGAAAGTAAGCTGGATATTGCACATGGCCGAATTGGAAGTTCCATTGTTGGCATTTCTGTCCTCTAGCTGCTCAGAACCACAGGGTGCTCCCAGGCAGTTCCCATGGATCCAGTGTGCTCCTAGGAAGTTCCTGGGTTCCAAGCAGCAGAGACCCAGGTTCCAGAGCCTGTGAGGACCTCCTGGGGCACCAGGCTGAGGTTCCCCCCCCCACTTCCTATCTGGGGGTAGCTCACTGACACGCTGACAGGTGGGGCTGCAGGGGAGGAAGGTGCCTCGGGAAGGGCTACCTCCTGGAAGACTGCTCTCAGGCCCTCCACGGAAGCATACTCCGAGGCAATCTGGGCATCCACCTGCAGGGCCTTGTGTAAGATGTCACCCATGATCTCGGCTTTGATGAGGGAATGGTGCTTGGTGAGGTCCCGGTGCAGCTCCTGTACCTGGTCCTTCAGGTTCTGCATCTCTGCCTGCAGGCGCTGGGGGAGGGGAGAGACCGGTGTGTGCCCGTGTGCCCTGCAGGCTGGGCGCACTGCGGGGGCCTCGGTGGAGGGGTGCTTGGCAGCCCTGGTGGTCGGATGAGGTTTGGCCACTGCACTTTGTCGCGAAGGGGTGGGGCCTTTCCTCACTGGCCCATCCCTGCCTCCTCACCCGGTAGGAGTCCTCGTAGTGGCGGCAGTGCTCCGTGAAGGGTGAGTCCTCGCCCTCCGCCAGCAGCACCTTGGTGCTGATGGACCGGTGCAGTGTGGGCTTTTGGACCGGTGACCCCAACATCTTCCCCACTGGGGAAGGGCAGCCGGGCCCCCTCAGCACCTTGGGGCCCGGGCCCCCTGTGAGCCTGGGGAGAGAACTCGTGTAGATGTGGCTGTGGGGGTCCAGAGAGTCTTCCCTTCCCCCAGCCTCTCACCCCAGGTGGCACACCAGAACCACACAGGGGCCCAAAATAAACCTGATGCCAGGCTTTGCCCACCAAAGACCAATGACATCAGCAGGGTATTTTTAAAAATCCTGAGGGTGATGCCAGTGTGTAGAAGAGTCCATCAGGATGTCCTCAGGGCTAGTCCCCAGCACACCGTAAGTTCACGCACACATACTGGACCTTGAAAATTTGGCCTGATACGCAGTCTCCCATGCCTGGGGCCCTGGGACCCTTGGCAGACACCCCCAGTTTAGGCATTTCTCCTAACTCCTAGGGACCTCCAGCTCTTCAGACTGCACCACCCCCCCCATTCCCAGAAGTCAGACCCCCTGCGGCTTCTGGTGACCGAGACCCCACTGTAAGCTACCCTTCCTTTCAGGGCTTAGACACCCCAATCCAGGTGCACAACTGCGGTTGGGGGCAGCCCCTGAGTCCTCCTGTTTACCCCTGACCCGGCTCCAAGCCGTCTACCGCGGGCTTCCGACCAGGATGGCTGCTTTCAGGCTGGGCAGGCTTCCGCGTGGAGATCAGAGGTGCTCAGACGCGGCACCCGGAGCTCGGTGAGCTGGGAAAGTCTGCCCCCACCCCAATGGAATCTTGTGCCCGCCTCCCCGTTCCCGGTCCCGGCGCCCTCGCGGCTCACGTGCTGGTGCCACCCCCGGCACCCGCCGCCCGGCGTGGCCCCAGCAGCAGTAGCGGCTCCAGGCAGCGCGCGAACTCGGCGCGGTGGTCGCTGGCGATCTGGGTGGCGGGACGACGTCGTGAGGTAGGTCCCTACCCTGCGGGACTGCGCTCCCGCCCCCGGCCCACCCCGCGCCCCCGCCCGCGGCCCACCCCACGCCCCGGTCTCCCCCGCCCACTCTGCGTCCCCGGCCCGCGCCCCCGCCCCCGGCTCACCCCACGCCCCCACGCACCTTGCTGCTCTGTGCCGGCCGCAGGCGATGTGGCCGCGTCACGATGCCCTGCAATCTCTCCATCAGCTCCTGCGGCCGGGGGAGCGGGGAAGGGGAGGGCTCTCAGGTGGGTGGGTGCGGGCGGGGGAGGGGGATGACACTGAGGGGAAGGGCCCGGAGGGCGAGTCTGCCTTTAGGACGGTTACCTGCCTTCCGATCCTCCCTGGGGTTGACCGGATGTTCACCTCAACCCCAGCCCCCGCCCCCGCCCACCAAATCGACCAGAAAGGCTGGGATGTCTGGACTTCAGTAGACTCTGCGTTTTAGGGGAGGAGGTTTATGCTCCCTCCAGGCTCTGCTGTCCTCTTATTTATTTATTGGCTGCACTGGTGGCTTTGGGGGATCTTAGTTCCCCCATCAGGGACTGACCCTTGCAGAGTCCTAACCAATGGAGACCACCAGGGAATTCCCTGCTGTCCTCTTAAAAGGGCTCTGCTGGCCCCCAAGTAGTTTGTAGATGATTGTGTGGAGGAGGTGGCCAGCCTCCAGGTAACAGGCTGCCCAGCCCTGAGGTGGGGGTCTCAGATGTGCACAGTGGGCTCCTGCTAGGGAGGGGGGACCCAGGAGCTGGGGGCACTCACGTAGCCCAAGTCCAGGAACTCGGCCTTGTTGGCCAAGCTGAGGAAGGAAGAGCAGATGACCAGGTGAACCTGCAAGAGGGACGCTACTCAGTGCCTGGGCGGGGTGCCCAGCCCCATGCCCCCAGCTCCCCTTACCTGCAGGGTGGGCAGCAGAGTGGCCAGATGGGAGAGCTGCTCCTTGAAGGCCTTGTCCTTCTCTTCATACTGGCTGGGGGAGGGGCAGGCAGCCTCATCTCCAAGGGGAGGGCTGCCCACCCCCACCTGGGCGGGGCCTCGGAACTGAGTGCTTCCATCTCCCCACGCTTTGTGCATCCTTCCCTGTCTCCCCTTCCCTGAGCCACCCTGCCGTCCCCCCGCCGGGGTGGACACCTGGATGTCTTGCTCTGAGGGTGGGACGGGGCTGTCCTAGGCTCCAGCTGGTGTCTGGAGGTCAAGGGGCAGAGGGTGGAGACCCTGCCACCACTCACCTCTGCACGGCCTGCAGCAGCAGCGCTTTCCTCTCTAACAGTTTGTCCTGGGAGGGACAGTCCACTAACTGACTTGGCAGACTTGGCCCTGCCCCCTCCCAGCACTCTCCCAGGCTCCTGGGCCCCAGCCACACAGCTGCTTAGCCTGGCTCTCTCTCCAGCCCACGAGCTCTGCTACCCCTGCCTGGGAGCATCGGCAGCCTCACCTTCAAGGTCACCTCCTACAGAAAGTCTTCCCTGACCACCTCCCATCACCAGCCCCAGCCTAGGGCGGGCCCTTGCTCCTCCTCTGAATTTTCCCAGCTACTGAGATTAACTAACTCCTGAAAGTAGTTCAGTGCTTGCTATACTGGAATCTCTAGGAGGGCTGGGGCAGGCCTGGCCCCCAGTCAGGTCATGCTGACAAGCATTCTGGGCTGTGGCTGTTCAGTCCCCCCTACGCCTCACCTGCATGCTGCTGAAGAGGGCCTGGATGGCGGCTTCCTCCTCTGCCGCGCTGCGTCGCACCTCCTCCACCATCGCCTGCAGCAGCTCGATAGCCTCTCGCGTGGCGGATTGCAGGGCCTTCACCTCCTGGGGACAGGGCGGCCTCAGCCTCCTGGGGACGTGCGTTCCCAACCCCGGCCCCGGCGTGCCCGGCAGCCCGCGCTCACCAGCACAGCCTGCTGCAGCCGCTCGCAGCCCTGGACGTAAGCTGACTCGAGGTCCACGCAGTGGACGCGGCTCTCCCTGCAAGGACCCCGCGCGTGAGCCCCGCTCCGGGACGCTCGCCAGCTCCTCACCTCCTGCGCCCTCTACCCACCCCTGCATGTCCCGGAAGCAGCGGATGCACAGCAGCGACTTCTTGTCGGTGGAGAACAGGACATAGGGCTCGGCGTGCAGCGCTGCGGCGGGGGCGGCAGTGAGGGCGCCGGGCAGCGCCCGCCCCCATCCCCGCCCGGCGCCGGCCCCATCCCCGCACGCCGCACTCACTGCACTTCTGGAGCACGTCGCGGCTGCGCTGGCCCAAGGCCACGATGTCGTGGCGCGCGAACATGCGTGCCCGGTGCGTCTCGTCGCGGCAGCGCGCGCACAGCGGCTGCCCGCAAGTGTTGCAGAAGTATGTGGTCTCCGCGTCCTGCGGACAGAGCTCGGGCTCATTCCTCCGGTGAACTGGGAGCCCGTCTTTGCGCGTCTGCGAGTCTCCGGCAGCGGCAGGGCCGCCGGCAGCCCTCACATGTAAACCTGACGCGCAGCGCTCTGTATCCCCAATTTACAGACGAGACTATCGAGGCTGAGAGAGTAGGTAAGGGGGAGGTACCCATAACGGGATTGAGGAGGGGGTTCCCCGGGTTGTGGGGAGGGTAGATACTGTATTTGCAAAACATTTAACCTACAACAGAAACGTATGTGTGCCCGTGGGCAAGACCTGTCAAGCCCCTCTTGGCACCCTCAATAGGAGCCACATGGCTGTGTTCACCCCAGCCATTTGGAGTTGGAACTTGACTGGGAGGGGGAAAGGGGTGAAAGTCTGTAGGTGTCCTTCCCTGTTGCTGAGAGTCCAAGGCATCGATCCCAGGGATGGCTATGAAAACACAGACCCCCAATTTATTTGGCATTCAAGGCCATTTCCTCCCCAGGCTCTCCCTATGTCTGGCCCCTCACCTACTGCCCTTATCTCCATACTTCCAGGTAGCACATATTCTAGAACTTGCCAGCACACCCTGACCTTTTGCTCCTGTAGGGACATCCTCCAGGGAAGCCTCAGACCAGCTTCCACAGTTCAGAGAGAGTCCCCTGTGCACTTCTCAGTCCAGCCTGAAGCCTGGCCTCTGCTCCCAGGTCCTTCAGGATGACCTCTCCACAGTAAGACAGTGTGCTCACATCCCCTGTCCTCTCTGGCTGCAGATAGCAGCTCGCGGCTACCCAGGTAGCAGTGGACCCTCGAGGGACTCCAGGTCTGTGCATTGGATCGCTCTTCCTGTTCCATTTCACAACTCTGCCCTGAGTTGGGAGCCAGTAAACTCCCCCCAAATCCAAATGGCTTTAACCCCTGCACCTAACACACTGTTGGTTCAAGTGAGTTGTTTTGGACTTCAGTCCCCACACCAGTAAAATGGGGCCCCTGTTCTGGATATGAGGTGCCTGAGGGAGGGGCTGGAGAGCCCACTGTTGGGTGATCCTCTGAGGATATGGCATCGGGACAGTGCAGCCTGGTGCCCTCCGCTCCCCACTGCACCCCAGGTGCCCCTGCCTGCTTGCCGCACTCCAGGTCGCAGTTGGCGCAGCGCACCACCTCGGTGCCATCCCCTGAGCTGTCCACCAGGAACTGCAACAGCCGATCCACTGGAGGGAGCCCGCTGGGGCCCTTCACCACTGTCTGGTGCCTGTGGAGAAGCTTCAGCCAAGCTCCAGATGCCCCTTCCCCGAGGCTCCCTACCCACTTCCTACTGCGTACATTCCAGGCGGAACTAAAAATAGGGTGGGAGGTGGGGTGCCTGCAGGCCTGACATCTATAAATATTTCAGTCAGTGCTCACTCCGATCCAGTCCCTTCCCAGCCCTGGAGGGATCCTGGGAGGGGGTTGGCGACTCAGGGTGTCAAAGGCAGAAGCCTCCCCTCAAGCCCCTCTCACTGCATTAGGCAAATTCAGGGCCACCCCAGTTATCCTGAGTTTCCCCAGTAGCCCAGCGGCTGAAGAATCCACTTGCAATGCAGGGGACAAAGGAGACTTGGGTTCAATCCCTGGGTCGGGAAAATCCCCTAGAAATGGCAACCCACTCTAGTATTCTTGCCTGGAGAATCCCATGGACAGAGGAGGAGCCTGGAGGGCTACAGTCCGTGGGGTCACAAAGACTCAGACACGACTGAGCAACTGAGTACACATGCACAGGTAGCTTGAGCCAACATAACTTGCTACTTTGACCTAAGACTTAAGGACCCCTAAGTGAGTCATTGGGAGTGTCCAGATGCTGAGCTGTGATCCCCTACTCCAGCAGCATCCAATTCCACAGCACAGGCACTCTAGCCCCCCCTTGCCCCCTGATTTATCTTGAGAGGCTGTGGGTCATAATCCTAGGTCTCAGTTACCCTGATCTGTAAAATGGGCAGGAGCCTTCACAATCTCTGGCAGAGAGGCACCAGCTGGGTGCAGTCTCTCCCAGCCTTCTTCCTGAAGAGTCTTGCCCTCCCTCCCAGCACCCAGATCCCTTCCCAGAGGGAGCCAGCCTCCCCTCCTCTGGGGCTTCCAGGCACTCACTGGCACAGAGGGCAAGCGAGGCGGCCATCGGCAGCACGGCCACGCAGGCAGCCGGCGCAGAACTCGTGAAAGCAGTCCAGCAGGCACGGGCGCTCATACTGCGCGTGGCACAGCGGGCACACGAGGGGGTGGCCGCTTGTCCCATCCAAGGCGCCCGGACCCTCCAGAGGCGTGAAGATAGCTCCGGACATCTTCAGGGACAGCGCAGGAGGGCGGCGGGGTGCCCTTGTTTGGGGGGGAGCTCTCACCGTGCCCGTGTCCACATCCGCAGCCCCCCTTCCCCTGTGCAGGTCCCCCTTACCTGTCCGGCCCGGACCCTTCGTGGCGTCCAGAGATCGTGCAGCGGGGGAGCAGCTAGGGCTCGGGGCTGGGGGCTAGCGCGCCGGGGCGGGGAGGATGGGCAGGAGGCCCGCAGAGAGGCCAGACCCTGTGCGTCCTCCCACGTCTCCAAGGCGGCCCTGGAAGGTCAGTCAATGCATCCTACCCAACGCCCAGCCTCCCTCTTTATCCCCCACCCAACCTCCCCTTACTCCCACCTCAGGAATTCTCCCGCCGGTGTCCTCTGGGTGACCCTCAGGCGGCACCCCTTCCGCCCCCCCGGTGCTCCGGTCCACCTTTACCAGGCCGGCGGCTGCTGCCTCGTCGCGAGGGCCTGCACCGAACGAACTCCGCGCTCCCCCACCGCTCTGACCCAGGGCTCCGGTCAGCCACGGACACGGCCACGGCCACTGTACCCCCCGCCCGGAGGAGGAGTGTGGCGGGAACTCGCGGCTGGAAATGACCCCGTGGGGCCAGGGTTCGAAACTTGGACTGGATGCCGCCCGGGATGGCAGAGCCCCGAGCCCGGAGTCGCCGGAGCGCCGCACAGAGCGGGGCGAAGGCCCTGGCTGCGGGCTCCTCCGGGGTCTATGGCACCCGGGCCAGATGGCTCTGTCCGGTCGGACTTGGCCGGGACGGAGTTGGTCAGCGCGGTCCTATTTCCTCAACGGCCAGTTGAGGGCGCCGGAGAGCAGCAGCCGCCCCTCCCATCCATTGGCTTGGGAGGCACGTGAGAGGGCTTGGCATGCCACTGCTGCGTTTGGCAGGTTGGGGGGCCAAGATTCCTCTCAGAGCCTCAGAGGTGGGTTAGAAAAGGGGGACCTCCCAGTGATCAGGGCAGACTTCAATGAAGTGAAATGCACGTCCTAAGCCTCCAACAAAGCTAGTGGAGGTGATGGAATTCCAGCTGAGCTATTTCACATCCTGAAAGATGATGCTGTGAAAGTGTTGCACTCAATATGCCAGCAAATTTGGAAAACCCAGCAGTGGCCACAGGACTGGAAAAGGTCAGTTTTCATTCCAATCCCAAAGAAAGGCAATGCCAAAGAATGCTCAAACTACCGCACAATTGCGCTCATCTCACACGCTAGTAAAGTAATGCTCAAAATTCTCCAAGCCAGGCTTCAGCAATATGTGAACCGTGAACTTCCAGATGGTCAAGCTGGTTTTAGAAAAGGCAGAGGAGCCAGAGATCAAATTGCCAACATTCGCTGGATCATTGAAAAAGCAAGATGTTTTTCCAGAAAAACATCTATTTCTGCTTTATTGACTATGCCAAAGCCTTTGACTGTGTGGATTACAATAAACTGTGGAAAATTCTTAAGAGATGGGAATACCAGACCACCTGACCTGCCTCTTGAGAAACCTATTTGCAGGTCAGGAAGCAACAGTTAGAACTGGACACAGACCAACAGACTGGTTCCAAATAGGAAAAGGAGTACATCAAGGCTGTATATTGTCACCCTGCTTATTTAACTTATATGCAGAGTACACCATAAGAAACGCTGGGCTGGAAGAAGCACAAGCTGGAATCAAGATTGCTGGGAGAAATATCAACAACCTCAGATATGCAGATGACACCACCCTTATGGCAGAAAGTGAAGAGGAACTAAAAAGCCTCTTGATGAAAGTGAAAGAGGAGAGTGAAAATGTTGGCTTAAAGCTCAACGTTCAGAAAACTAAGATCATGGCATCTGGTCCCATCACTTCATGGGAAATAGATGGGGAAACAGTGGAAACAGTGTTAGACTTTATTTTTTTGGGCTTCCAAATCACTGCAGCTGGTGACTGCAGCCATGAAATTAAAAGACAGTTACTCCTTGGAAGGAAAGTTATGACCAACGTAGATTGCATATTAAAAAGCAGAGACATTACTTAGCCAACAAAGGTCTGTCTAGTCAAGGCTATGGTTTTTGCAGTGGTCATGTATGGATTTGAGAGTTGGACGGTGAAGAAAGCTGAGCACCGAAGAACTGATGCTTTTGAACTGTGGTGTTGGAGAAGACTCTTGAGAGTCCTAGGGACTGGATCTGCAAGGAGATCCAACCAGTCCATCCTAAAGGAGATCAGTCCTGGGTGTTCATTGGAAGGACTGATGCTGAAGCTGAAACTCCAACTCTTTGACCACTTCATGTGAAGAGTTGACTCATTGGAAAAGACCCTGATGCTGGGAGGGATGGGGGGCAGGAGGAGAAGGGGACGACAGAGGATGAGATGGCTGGATGTCATCACCGACTTGATGGACATGAGTGTGGGTAAACGGGAGTTTGTGATGGACAGGGAGGCCTGGCGTGCTGCGATTCATGGGGTTGCAAAGAGTCGGACACAACTGAGCGACTGAACTGAACTGAAGCCTCCAAATAATTAAGACCCCAGTCCCATCAGCAGCGGATTGCCCCATGAAGAGGTAGCTTTAGGAGGGAGAGAGCAAGAGAGGACACGCTGAGCCTTTCCACCTGGGCCTCTCTGCCTTTCTTGGCCTGCTGTATACTTGTTTCACCCAGGGTGATTTTCTCCAAATTGCCTGCTTTCTCTACACAAGCCATCCTGAGCTCCTGGAGAGCAGCCCCCATCTCTGCTCCCGCCACCCCCCCCCACCCTGACCCCCGTCCCGGAAATCAGGGTCAAGCCACAGCCTGACCTGTGGAAGGTGCTCAATTAAATCTTACTAATCAGTTAGGAAAAACTAGGAGATAATATTCTAGCTGGGTTTTGAAGGATGAGTAGAAGTTTGCAAGGGAGAAGAAAGGAAGTGAATTCTAGGCAGGAAACATCTATTCTTTTCAGGGTTGATAGCTTACGGTGGTAGGTGTTGAGTTTGTGGTCTCTGAAGAAGGTTTCACTCCAGAACCAAAGATGCAGTCTCAGTCACCCAGAGCTTTGTGCAGCAAAGATTTTATTGAAATGAAAGGACAGAGAAAGTTTCTGACGTAGACATCAGAAGGGGGTGGGAAGAGTACCCACTCTGCTAGATTGAGCAGTGCATTATACACTTTTCAGCTGGCTGCTGAAAATAGATAAATAGATATAGATAGAAAAGATAAAAAGAATACCTCAAGACTGAAAGTTTTACCAGACCCTTTCCTAAGGCATGTCAAAGATAGCCAGGGAGAATGGGTTCCAGGCAACATGCCTCTGGGAGAGATAGTGTTGCTGAGAAAACAGGTTCCCAGGCAAGATTTGTTACAATTATAATCATTAACATAGAGCCTAAGGAAAGCATACACACGAGTATCGATCAGATCAGTCGTGTCCGACTCTTGGCAACCCCATGGACTGTAGCCTAATAGGCTCCTCCGTCCATGGGATTTTCCAGGCAAGAATACTGGAGTGGGTTGCCATTTCCTTCTCCAATAAGATGCGTTCAGTTCAGTTCAGTTGCTCAGTTGTGTCTGACTCTTTGCGATCCCATGAATCGCAGCACGCCAGGCCTCCCTGTCTATCACCAACTCCCGGAGTTTACTCAAACTCATGCCCATGGAGTCGGTGATGCCATCCAGCTACCTTCTATTACTGCTCTGTAATTATTAGCTCCAGATCTAAAGAAAAGCCAGCTCAGGCAAGATACATTGTTGCACAAGGCTTAAGGAAAGCATGAGCAAGATATATTGTTGCTTGTGCAGCCTATGTGACTAAGGCAAAAGAACCAGAGCAAAAATGTTCACCTCCTCCTTAAAGGAGCCTTGGACTCCCTATCAATCTGCCTAAGTTAACGCTAGCACAGCCCTCTCTAGACCTTGTGCTTCAAGTCATAGTAACAGTGGCAAGTGTTTACAGGTCAAGGTACTATTCAAAGCTCTTTTACTTGTATTATCTCAACTAATACTGACCATCTTTTAAAAAAGTGAAAGTGTCAGTCGCTTAGTTGTGTCCTGATTCTGCAATCCCATGGCTATAGCCAGTCAGGCTCCTCTCTGTCCATGGAATTCTCCAGGAAAGAATACTAGAATGGGTAGCCATTCCCTTCTCCAGGGGATCTTCTCGACCCAGGAATTGAACCCGGGTCTCCTGCATTGCAGGCAGACTCTTTACCATCTGAGTCACCAATCCTGACCACCTTACAGCCTTACTATTTGAGTAGTATCAATGTTTACTGAGCATCCACCAGGGGCCCTATACATAGAAATAGACAAACCACGTTCACCAAGAACACAAATCAACAAATACAACAGTGACAGGCTATGTTAAATATTCTGAAGGAAAGCATTGGAATGATGTGATGGAGGGCAGCTGGGAGGAGGTGGAGCTGAAGACACACTAGATAACCATGGATGGGCAGAGCTCCTGGAGAATGAGAAGAAATGAGACACAAGAAAAGCCAGGAAGGGTTCAGGTTGAGCCAACAGCAAGTACAAGGTCCCAGAAGTTGGAATAAATGTGAAGGAAGGAAAGGAAGACCAATGTGGGTGGAGAGGAAGGGATGCAGGATTGGGGTGAGGCTGAGGATGGAGAGTGGAGGCAAGGGCATGGAGAGTTGAGGGTTGCATCTTTGGGGTGAAGGTGGTCATCTTCACCCTCTAGACTAGAGAGTCCATGCTGGAGGCTGTACATACAGACTTGGGGAGTCATACTTAAGGTTATGTGTCTGGACTTCCCTGGTGGAACAGTGGTTAAGACTGTGCACTTCCACTGCAGGGGATGCAGGTTTGATCCCTGGTCAGGGAACTAAGATCCTGCATACCCTGTGGCATGGCCAAAAAAAAAAAAAGATATGTGTTTGGAGCATGGCAAAGGTCAAGTGTAGATAAAAACGAGAGGGGCTTTGCTTCCTGTAGACCTTCAAGTCCAGGGAGGAGGAGGAGGGAGCAGCAAGGAGAGAGAGGAGTGGCCAGAGGTGGAAAGAGAGCCAGGAGAGATTGAGGTCCTGGGGACCCAGGGAAGAAGGGTCACCAAGGACGAGTGACCTCTGGTATCAGATGCTAATAGAAGCAGGAAGAAGACCAGGACCTAACCCCAGTTCTTAACAGGAGGACATCATCAGTGACCTTGATGAGAGCTGTCCTGGTGGCCGATGTGTGTGTGTGTGTGTGTGTGCAAAGCACCCCCCCCATGTGTGTGTGTGTGTGTGTGTGTGTGCAAAGCACCCCCCCCCCCCGCAAGTGGGTTCAAAAGGAAATGGGAGGAGAAATTGACAGTGCACAGAGGAAACTTCCAAGGAAATTGGCCATAACAAAAATATCACCAGCTGGGTGGTTTATCGGAAATTTCTTACAGTTGTGAAGTTGGAAGCCTGAGGTCAGGTGTAGACAGATTGGGCTCCTGGTGCAGCCACTCTTCCTGGCTTGTTGTTGGCTCTCTTCTCCCTGTGGCTCTCATGGCAAGACAGATCTCAGGTGTCTTCTTTGCCAGTCCCACCATGAAGCCCCACCCTGATGATTGCTTATAAATCTAATTACTTCCCAGAGGACTTGCCTCCAAATACCATCACTTTGGGGACTAGGGTCTCACTTATGAATTTGGAAGGACACAAACATTCAGTACATAGCAGACAGGAGACGAAAGGGGTGGTATGTGACAGGAAATGTTGGGGGTTGAGAGATTGCTTTTTCTGTTTTGAGATGGGAGGTTTTTTTTTTAATTATTATTATATTTTTATAAGATTAGCAGTCAACTTTTAAAAAATATTTATTTATTTTTGGCTGCATTGGGTCTTGGGCTTCCCTGATAGCTCAGTTGGTAAAGAATCCTCCTGTAATGCAGGAGACCCTGGTTTGATTCCTGGGTCTGGAAGATCCACTGGAAGAGGGATAGGCTACCCACTCCAGTATTCTTGGGCTTCCCTTGTGGCTCAGGTGGTAAAGAATCTGCCCACAATGCGGGAGACCTGGGTTCGATCCTTGGGTTGGGAAGATCCCATGGAGAAGGGAAAGGCTACCCACTCCAGTATTCTGACCTGGAGAATTCCATGGACTATATAGTCTATGGAGTCGCAAAGAGCTGGATACAACTCTTGGGGTCTTAGTTGCAGCAGGAGGAACTTTGTTCCTGCAACTGAGAGAAGTGCGCCAGCTTCTCTCGAGTTGTGGTACAGACTCAATAGTTGCAGCATGTGGGCTTAGTTGCCCCAAGGCATTGTGAGATCTTAGTTTCCCAACCAGGGATCAAACCTGCGCCCTCCTGCATTGATTGGAAGGTGTATTCTTAACCACTGGGCCACCAGGGAAGTCCTAAGAAGGGAGATTTTAAAGAATGGTTAAGTGCTGATGGGAAAAAATCCAGAAGAAAGGATAGTGATGATTTCATGGGGTGGGGGTGGGGGCTAATGGAGTGGTGTCCTCAAGTAGGAAGTATGCCAGGTGAGTGCCCTAGTGCCAGGGTTGACCTCAGATGGGGGTCTTCTGACCCTTCTTCCATAGTAACAGGAGGGAAGGCATACTGGGGTAAAAATGTTGCTGGATGGGTAGGTGTGTAGGTGGGTGTATATGAAAATTCTTTTTGGATTGCTTCTGTGTTTTCAAAAAGAGAGCAATGGAGGTCATCAGTTGAGAGGGATGTTTTGGTGTGAGGAGCTGGCATTCTGGCCAGAGGTGTGAAAAAAGTTATTTAGAGGATTGGCAGGTAGCCTCAAGGCTTGCTAAGTTAAGAGAGGGGTCAGGTCACTCGGGAAAAAGCACACTAAGGATTGTTAATCAGGTACAAAGGTTTGTGAACTAGGTAACTTGAGAGGTAACATAAGAACTCTAGCAACTGCAAGAAGTAGTTGCTACTCCTAGGATGATCTTATTAGACTGTAGACACTTGAAGGAGGGGGCTCAGGAAGTTGAGCACTGCTCAGCTGGTGTTGGGGAGAAGACAATGAAGCTGGTTCTACAAGTGTTGGAATAACTGCAACTGGATTCAGCTGAGGTTTCTGGACTGTTCCAACTGCTGCTACCAGGATGAAGAAGCAGGAGGAGGTGACACCAACAGAACAGGAACAAGCAGGAAGTAAACCAAGATAAGTCTCTTCTGTTTCCTCCAGCCTGCAGTTTCCCTCCTAGGTCCCCATTGAAAGACCCTGATTAGAGCCAGCTGGCAAAGCAGAAATGTGGTTTACAGTCAGTAATAGCAGCATGGGGGCTTTCCTGGTGTTTCAACGGTAAAGAAACCACCTGCCAATGCAGGGTTCGATCCCTAATCAGGGAAGATTCCATATGCTGAGGAGCAATTAAGCCGTGTGCCACAACTACTGAGCTTGTACTCTAGAGTCCAAGAGCCAAAATTACTGAGCCCATGTGTTGCAACTACTGAAGCCCGTGTGCCCTAGAAACCTCTGCTCCACTACAACAGAAGCCACCACAATGAGAAGCCTGCACACCCCAATTAGAGAGTAGCTCCCACTCCCCAAAACTAGAGAAAAAAGCCTGCAAAGCAAAGAAGACCCAGCATAGCCAAATACGAATAAATACATATCATTAAAAAAAAAAAAAAAGAATAGCAAGGTGGGTTTGGAGCTTGGTCAACTGGTACATCTGGACTAATCAGCATGGGAGAGTACCCTAACACCACTGTAAGCTACGCTTGGGCTTCTGATAGGTGACTACATGGCAGGTGGATATAGGGACTGGAGGGTGTGTGCAAGTGAGTGATTATAATGCAGGACCCCGGACTGAAACTGGTAATGTTGCAGGAAGGGGGACTCCTTCCAGGGCCAGAGAGTGGACTCTTGTCTATCACTTAGAAATGAACTGTCTGAGGAGACACATGTGCTGATAATGCAAGAGACTTTCTTGGGAAGGGGATGCCTGGGCAGAGAGCAGCAGAGTAAGGGAACCCAGGAGGACTGCTCCACCACATGGTGGAGAAAGTCTTGGGTTTTATGGTGATGGGAGTAGTTTCTGGGTTGTTTCTGATTGAAACACTCAGAACTCAATCACTCTGATTGAGGGTCCTTCCTTGTGGCACACGCATCACTCAGCCAAGATGGATTCCAGCAAGGAGGATTCTGGGAGGTTGGTAGGACACGTGGTGTCTCCTTTTGACTTACCCGAAATTCTTCTGGTTGGTGGTGGCTTGTTAATTTTGTGTTTTTATCAGGACGTCCTCTCATAACATAAATCATGCAAATAATTACTATGGTGCCTGGCTAAAGTGGGCGGTTCCAGTCAGTGTTTCCCCTAACAGCAAGGACATGAGGGACTGAAAGTAGTCCGGTGTGTGGAACGGTAGGTCTGGGGATGAAGACCCATTGCCACTCAACTTTGGTCCGTGGACCAGCAGCAATAGCAGCAGCAGCATCTCCTGGGAGCTCTCATGAAACGAAGAATCTCAGGCCAATGAGACCCACTGAATTGGAGCGAGATTCCCAGGTGGTTCCTGTCTGTATGCCAGTGTGGGGAGCGCTGGCGGACGAATTTTTGAAGCTGTAAAACTAGAAGGGATGAGGGACTTCCCAGATGGCGCTAGTGATAAAGAACCTGCCTGCCAATGCAGGAGACCTAAGAGGCTAAGGTTCGATCCCTGGGTCGGGCAGGTCCCCTGGAGAAGGACATGCCAGCCCACTCCAGTATTCTTGCCTGGAGAATCCTACGGAGAGAGGAGTCTGTCGGGCTACAGTCCATAGGGTCTCAAAGAGTGGGACACGACTGAAGCGGCTTAGTACGCGCCAGAAGAGATGAGTTGGAAAGCTAGGATGACCCGAGGATGGGCAGCTTAAGTCTGAGGTGGTGGAGACTCTACCTTACTGCAGCCAAGAGGGCTAGCACCGGGAGAGAGCCCCTGGGCACCCGCTTCCTGACTGGGATTTTGGGTAGGAAGCAGCCAAGTGCTCTCGGACATTAGGACCCCAAATTAGGCCTCACCTCCCCAGATTAGTGGGTTCGATTCCCATCCCACTACCTGGTTGTTGACGGTTTATTGAATCTCCTTATTCATTTTTTTAAAGACTGCCAAAAGTAGAGCGAATCCCTTCATTTCTCTTCGGGCTCGTCTAGTCAGGCTCCCCCCTCCGATCCTTTGCAGTGGGACAGGCTACTTGGCTTCCTCCCTCCCCCTACAATCCTAGGTGGGAGGGGCGTAAGACGTTGGGTTTTGGCATTCAGGTAAAAACAATCGCTCCCCGAGCGTACAGAACGGGGCAAGACAGTGGCGACCGAGGGGCGTGGCAGAGAGATTAGTACGGCCTGAGCCCTGCGTGCTCTGCGCGCTGCGGCTTCTTTGCGTCTGCGTATTTCGCTCACCTCCCTTTCTGCCTCCGCTGCCGCCATGGCGCCTGTGGTTAGTATGACTCCGCGTGAGGCCTCGGTTCTGGGGGAAGCACGTGGGCCTCACCGGCCCGGCCCCTACGTGGCTCTTGGCGGACGGCGCTCAGCATCGTCCTGCCGGGGCCTGGCTAGCAGGCCGACCGGAGTGAGCCAGGGTGGCCGCCGACCCCTGCACGTTGTGGGCGGAGGAGGCCGCGGCCCGAGGCGCGAGGGGGAGATCTGGGGCTTTCGGAAGCCGCCGCTCGGGCTTGGGCTCCTGCCTGTGGTCAGCAGGGAGCTGGGGGACTGAGATTGCAGCCTGGGCTGGTCAGCGATCCTTGGAGCTGGCGTAAGGTAGCCGAGGCCTGGGCCCGGTTACCTGGGCGGCGGGAGGGGAAGGAGGGGACCTGCCACTCTCGGGGACTGTGCGCAACCGGAAAAACTATTGCGGCACTCAGGGGATCAGTGGCAGGGTCCACGAAAGGAGGCCTCACTGGCCAGTTTTCACGAGGAGGCCTGGGCTAGAGGACCCTCTCGCGTCTCCGGAGGAAGTTAGATCTTAAGGGCGCAGCTCTGCAGACCCTTTCCGATGTCCGGAGAGGGCCCAGTTGGATTCTGTGTCGGCCAGGCTGAGCCTGGGCCGTGTGGCGCCCTCATATCACTGGCTGTAGATGGTCTCCTTCCAGGTTACTTGGAGAAAGTTTCCCTACCCTTCTTTGTTGGGACACCTTTATTAACAGTTTGGGCGCATCTCCAGCTTTCTGCCTGGGTGGGCCTTTAATGCTTTTAGGCGTTTGTATGTTTTTGATTTAAAACCATGGTGTGGGGGGTATGAAGCCCGTATCCTGCCGGCAGGTCTTCTGCTTGCTGATTGTGTGTTTCCGGGGCTTAAAGCAGCCCCTTTGATTGTTACTAGGAAGACATGTTAGGAAGGATAAGTGCAACTACAGGTAAGTATGTTGTCCAAGTGCTTTTTTTTTTTTTTAAATTGGAGTTGGAATTTGTAGAGGGAGAATATTTATATAAGGATCTTTGTGAGAATGAAGGAGCTGGAACCTTGTAGCTAAACTGGTGGTTTGAAAGTGCTCATTCAGAGATTAAATCAGTTAGAAGGCCAGAAATTGTCAACAGTCTTGTTGTAATTAGAACCTTTAGCTAGACCCTTGTTCCATTTGGGGTTAGATGGGCTGCTAGGATGTGTGGTTCTGGTCACTGTCCTGAGAAAGTAGATGAAGGTAAAAGGACGAAGGTAAAAAACAGATAAACTGGATTGGCCCCTGAGTCGGAAAAGTTAGGACATGTATTCAGTTCAGACTAAAATTGTTTTAGGTATGCAAGGCATTTTCATGCCTGTGCCTTAATCCTGGAAAAAAACAAGTGAGTGTTTCTTTATTTTGGAAATTTTAGAGTGAATAAAAGGAAGCATTTCTTTTATTGTAGTTCTTAAACTAACAGACCTTCCATTATTCGCCTGGAAACTAGGGATGCTGGAAAGTGTAAATGGGAAAAGAGTGCTGTAATGAGTTTCCTCTTCTAGAGGGCATGACCCCAGAGCAGCATCTTGAGTATTATCCATCCTCCATCTTTGGCGCCCTTGCAGGGGAACAGAATCCCACGGTTTTTGCATTTGTGTGTACTTTTACAACTCTGGTCTTTCCACTTCTGTTAATTTTTTTGTTTTTGACTGGTTATGCCTTTATCTCATCATTTGTATCCTATTCTTAGAAAAAGCTTGTGGCGAAGGGGGGCAAAAAAAAGAAGCAAGTCCTAAAATTCACTCTGGACTGTACCCACCCTGTAGAAGATGGAATCATGGATGCCGCCAATTTTGTAAGTTACCCCCTGATGCCACTCTGGACAGTAGCGAACCCTTTCGGATATTGCTGAGAAGACATATTGGAGCCTGTTTGTTTGCAGGCTCAGGCTGCTCTGCAGTTCTTGCTGTTGGGTTTGACTATGGATCTCTGTCTGGTTCTGGTTCTCAGCCTTACTTTCTCAGGGGTGTGACAGTGAAGAGTAAAGGAGATGCACTGGAGCAAGTCACTGCCAGAGGGCCACCTTTTCTTCTTCAGTTTCCAAAAAGATCTTACTTAAAATTTATCTGGTGAACTTCCTTGGATCCAGCATCTCCTCTGCACTTAGGTGTGTTTAGGTGTAAGCTTGGCCCTGAGGCTGACGTTTTGGGCCCAGGGGCTGCCTGTGCCCTGGGCCTGATGCTTGCTTCTGGGGCCTTGGACAGAGGACAGCATCTCCTTGAGCTTTCTGTTGTATTAAGTGTCAGAGCTTCAGTATTCATGCGAAAATATCCTGCTTGCTGATTTGTAATTGTAGCTTGGTTTTTTTCAGACCTTGCTCTGTACTGATTTTTTTGCCCTCATGTTGGCCCCATTCCCCAGTACTCCTCTATTTCACCTAAATCTAGAAAAATGAACCTAGTTGCCACATTTTGGAATCTGCAACTTGGTTTTGGCATTTTACGCTTTTCCTCTCCATAGCCAAGCAAAGCTTGGGGGAGTTCAGACATACTGTTGTGTGGAGCCCTAAGTCGCCATTTTCTCTTAAGTCTCCAGAGGTCAACTATTGCCAAGATTAATATCATTACAACAAGAATAATTTTCAAATTAAAAAATTAGCAGCTTGGCCTATGGCCACGACTTACAAAGTGTGGTGTCTGGGTAGCCTGTAGTTGATTGCCCTCTTGTGGATGCCTGCCGTGCGTGGCCCTGGCCTGGCCTGCAGGTCTCTCCGTGGCTCTTTGTTCCTTCTGTCTTCTTGCTTTTCTCTTGTCCCTCCTAACTTGTAGCTTCTTCCACATTGTGTCTGATGTCCCTGTTCTGCCATTATTCCCTCCACTGTCTCTCAATATGTGTATGTGACTGTCTTTGTTTTAGGTGCCTCCTTAGGATAGAAAACAGTTGTTTATGAGTCTAAGACACAAAAGTCGAGATTTCTGACCTCATCACACTTCCTGTCGACAGTTAACATATTGTATATTGGTGTCTTTTTTTTTTTTTGGCTGTGTTGTGCAGTATTTGGGATCTTAGTTCCCTGACCAGGGATTGAATCCATGTTCCCTACAATGGAAGCTCAGAGTCCTAGTACCAGCAGGAAAGTCCCCAGATTGGAGTTTTTAAATAGAGGACTGTAGGGATGGGAGCTGAAGGGCCTTCCTGTCTTTGCAATATCAAGAAAACCATAAAAGTCCTCCTTTTTGGTCCAAGAGGTGAATGGCTAGCCCAGGCTTCCTCTGGGATTTTCCCAGAGTCCCATCTCTGGGCTTCTGGGCCAGTGTCCCTCCTGCTGTTCAGTGCTGGTTCACGTGGCCCCTCAGCTCTGGTTGTTTTTGTTCTTCTGCGTGGTTGAAGATTTATTTTCTCTGATCACACTGAGGACAGTGCTTTACATGTCTTAGGTTCAGAGGCTGCTTGCCATTTTTTTTGCCTGTATCTACAGATGTAAGCTTGGGCCTAGGTTTCCTGTCTACTCTTTACCCTTGACCCAAGAGTCAGAGACTGAACATATGACCAGCTATATGCTTAGAGATAGGAGTATAAAAAAATATTTTGGGACTTTTCCTGATGGTCCAGTGGTTAAGGCTCCATGCTTCTAATGCAGGGGTTGTGGGTTCGATCCCTGGTCAGAGAACTAAGATCCCACATGCCACGTGGCGTGGCCAAAAAATTAAAAATAAGTAGTGTGTGAAAATGGTTCAGTCATGTCCAACTCTTTGTGACCCATGGACTATATAGTCCATGGAATTCTCTAGGTCATAATACTGGAGTGGGTAGCCTTTCCCTTCTCCAGAAGATCTTCCCAACCCCGGGACTGAACCCAGATCTGCATTGCAGGTGGATTCTTTACCAGAAGAGAAATTAAAGAAAATTAAAAAGTGTTTTGCTGGTGACATGGGTGAACTAGTCTCCTCACTAACCAGTCCATTTGACGATTTCTACAGGAGCAGTTTCTTCAGGAGAGGATCAAGGTGAATGGGAAAGCTGGCAACCTGGGTGGTGGTGTTGTAACCATCGAAAGAAGCAAGAGCAAGATTACTGTAACTTCCGAGGTGCCCTTTTCCAAAAGGTATGGGAAGAAGAGGCGTTACTTGTCTGTTTCCTCAGCTAAGGTTCCCACCCACCCTGGCCAGGAAGGTTGCTCCCTGAAGAGTCATTTGCTTTGTGGTTGCCTCTGTTAACTTGTGGAGCAGTGTCCAGTGTGAGGGGTGGTGAATGAACGAATGTTACTGTGGTAGTTAAAAGTATTCACCTCTTGGTAGTTCTCCGCAGTTTTGTTTTCTGCAGCCTAAAGCGGTGGTCCCCAACCTTTTTGGCACCAGGGACCAGTTTTCTGGAAGACAGTTTTTCCATGGTGGTGGGGGAATGGTTCTGGCAATAATACAAGCCATGGGGAACTTCGCCGTCTGGCCCACTGCTCACATCCTGCTCTGTGGCCCACTTCCTATCAGGCTTTGGACCAGATGAGTGTCACCGCTTGGGGTTTGGGGCCTCTGGGCTAAAGGATTTCCAGCAGTAAATGATGCTTAGACTTGCTTAGACTGTATTCTTAAAAGTGAGCATATTACTTCCTTTGCCTCTAGATCACTTTGAAGAGCTTTCATTTTTATTTTTAAGTTTTTTTTTTTTCCTTTTGTTCAGTTGGTAAGTCGTATCCTACTCTTTTTCCACCCTGTGGACTGCAGCAACACTAGGCTTTTTTTCCTGTAAATGCTGCCATAATTAGATGAGGGATCAGAAGTCTCAGTTTAGACTGAAGCCACCTCATTTAATTCCTGTAGGCCTATTTATTTATTTTTTTGTCCATACCACGTGATTGTCAGGATCTTAGTTCCCAGGAACCCTTACCCTTGGCAGTGAAAGTGCTGTGTCCTAACCACTGGACCACCAGGGAATTCCCCTTTGCTTATGTTTTTAACTAAATCAGCAAATGGCTGGGTCTCTTCAGTATTCACCTGAAACTATCACAACATTGTTAATTGACTATCCCGATACAAGATGTTTTTGGTGTTAAAAAAAAATAAAAAAAGAGATGACTTTAGAACTACTCCTTTTTTTTCTGGCTGTGTGACTTGTGGAATCTTAGTCCCCCGATCAGGAATTGAATCCAGGCCCCTAGCAGTGGAAGCATGGAGTTCTAACCACTGGCCTGCCAGAGAAGTCCCTGAATTACTCCCCTTCTGCCTGGCTGAGTTATTTTATGTGTGCAGAAGGCAGTTAGATGGCATGAGAGACAGGATAACCAAAGGGCCTCCAAGGTGTACTTAACACCTGCCCCACCAGCCCCTGCTGAGCTCGCAGGGAAGAGCCTGCTGTCCTGTGGTCTGTTTCCAAATCTCCTAATCTAGTGTGAGAATGTCTCCTAACCCGTGTCACTTCAGTTTTCACAGATTTTCTCTTGTTTGACAAGTAGGGAAGGAAAAGAACCTGATCTGTTAGAACTATGTTTTCTTGAAACATTCAAGGGGCTCCTAATCTAGAACGTTCTTTTGGCCACACCAAGCGGGATCTAGTTCTTGACCAGGGATCAAACGCGTGCTCCCCGAAGTGGAAGCTTGGAGTCTTAACCACTGGACCACCAGGGACCAGTGGAACATTTCTCGCTTATCTCTGAACTTCTGTGTTTTAACCTAGCTTCCCCCCGTATTCTATTATGAAAACACTCCAGCCACCTTAACTTTTGAATTAACCCACTTTACCTGGATATAATATAATAGAAATAGTAAATGGAAATAAAAGAGAATACTTTGTAGGTGAAACGACCAAATTGTTTTATTTTTATGTAGGGAAAAGTGGGTAGAATTGAACTGAGATCTTCACATCTTTGTGAAGATTGCTTGGTTGGCGTAAGTAACACAGTGGAACAGTGTTCGTTTCCTGGAGGTCTCTGGTTTCTCGGTTTGTTAACACTTGGTCCCATCTAAAGTGCCAGAGTTTGCCAGTGCATCTCATTTAGTCCTTGTACCAGTCTGAAGAGATGGTGAGTATCTTGAGCCCTTTTTTATAGAGGATGACACTGATGTCTAGAAAGACTAACTTGCCCAGTGGTGGGTTTGCTGAACATTCTGTTCCCTCTTTATGGTTCTGGGAAGATGCCAGAATAGATAAACCCCAGGGCCTCATAAGCAGATGGATGAGAGAGCAGGATTGTGGGCTTTGTGTTGGGTGAAAGAGCCATTGTTGCCTTTAGGTGAACGGTTTCCTGACAGCAGTGTTCGGGGGTGAGGCTTAGCTCACGTAGGCTTAGGTGGCCACTGGGCGAGTGGACTGAGGAGGCCAGGTGCTTAAGTGCACATCTTGAGTTAGGGAGGTTGGTGGGGGGGTTGGGAGATGGACATCTCAAAGTGGGAGTGAGAATGTGACAGGGCCCTGAGCTGCAGTCCCAGGAACCAGCAACCTCAAAAGGTTTTAGTCAATGAGGTGAAGTACTTGGAGCTTGTTAGGAACCCAGCAGTTTCTCAATAAAAGGTACTAAGATTGTGTGCTTAACTTCCAAGTGACCACCCTGATCTCTTTCCCCAGTAGTCACTACAGACCATTTTCTAGGTGATGGCTCTTGTTTCATGGACAGTGGTCACATCTTAATCTGTTCTCATTTTTATGGCCAGGTTAGTTAGAAGAAATGTGGCTGATGTTTATTCTCATTAGAACAGTGACTGGTTATATTTCCCAACTGCCATTTTTTGAACCATGGGAAAATACCTTGAATTGTAGTGACTTTGAATGCACAGGTTTCATAAAAGTTACAGTGTTTCAGAATATAAGAATGTCTTGTGTCTAGTGGAGTTCTCAAGTGTTCTTTCTCTGCAGGTATTTGAAATATCTTACCAAAAAATATTTGAAGAAGAATAATCTACGAGATTGGTTACGCGTAGTCGCTAACAGCAAAGAAAGTTACGAATTGCGTTACTTCCAGATTAATCAAGATGAAGAGGAGGAGGAAGATGAGGATTAAAACTCAAACGGGAATATTTGTATAAGTTCTTAAATAAAATTTATCAACCAAAATGATGGTTTTCCTTGTATCTCTGCAGTGTGGACTGAACAAAATTGGAAATCATAGTAAAAGGGCTTCACTTGGGCTGCCTCTCACTTGTTATTGAACTTTTTTTCTGCTTAAAGATTTCAATTCTTGTGGTAGAAATAGCAAAACAGAGCTAAGGCTCCTGCGAGGGAACTGACTTGTGTGACACTGAGCAGGTGGAGGAGGGCGTGGGGGTTAGGGGTGAGTTGTCAGTTCCATTTGGTACCTCTCAAAGGCTGAGGAATACAAACGTGGCAACTCCCGATTCACTGCAGGCAGAACCAGGGACTTGCTTCTGAGGTTCTCTTTTAGGAAAGTGGCAGTGTTGAAAAAATGCAGGGTTCTGGGGCAGTTTTGTGATTCTGTCTTCATTTTGTGATCACAAATTACTCTTGATACACATGGTTACTATGTATGCTAATCCTTTTTCTTCCCATAGAAATAAAATGTGGTCCTTTAGTGTTGCCTTGTATTCTGCTCCCCCTCAGGAAAGGGTCTGGGGAGTGGCTCTTGTAAAAGTCCCAGGTGTTGGATTAAGGAAAGGTCTACACTATAGGAATTTGTAAAATAATTGTTTCTGCAAGTCTTTGCAGCAAACTGTCATTCTGACCCCAGCAGGGGGAGCTGGAGATGAGGAGTAGTGGAGTTTCCAGAAGGGAGGGAGGATCTGTGGGATCTAGACGTGGGTTGGGATCGAAATTCTTCGATGCCCAGAGCTCTGGAGTCTTCTTGGGGTTGGGTGTGAAGGAAAGGGGCTGGGAGACAACTCAGGCTGAAGAGAAGTGTCCAGATGCCCAGGGAATAGTCACTTCACTCCATTTAGGCCACTGCTGGACTTGATGTCATTCTACAGACCAAACTGAAGGCAGTGTTCCCACCATACCATTCCCACAATGGGTTCTGTTGCCCTGTGTGTAGAGGCTAAAGATCTGAGGTCATTAACAAGATTGTAAAGATGTGACTTGCTGATAGAATCAAGGGGGAGAAGAGGATCTAATACTTTAAGGTGCCCTCAAGTCTAAACCATTCTGCAGGAAAGTGCATTGTCTTAAGATGATGTAACAAATTCATGGTTTTCCAGAGCTTGCCTACGGTTCATTTCCACACCTGCAATTCTTACATTCTTGATAGTTGCATCGTTAGAAATGTTAACACTTGGTGCTTTTTGAGTTGAATTTAACATTGAGGGTTTGCAAGTTCATTTGTGGTAAAGTACCATTCTCTATGCAAATTTCTTGAAGCAGAATTATTTGCATGTTTCTGTTCTAGAGAACGCAGGGTTTCTTTCAAATTTAACTGAAGCTCTTTGGTACTGTCCCTTACTATGATTATTAATTTTGTTAGCAAGGTTGTGATTTGGGTTTGCAAATTGTATTTGTTTGTTGCACTGATGTTCCATTATAGAAACCTTAGTTTGATTGTAAAAAATTATCCCTGGGCTGAAATTAGTATATAAGTTTCTTCTTTTAAACTATTCCCAGGATTTAAAATTTGTAATAAAATTGAAACTTTTTGGTTTTTCTGTGCCTTTTTTAACTCTTGTGTTTTGACTTCTGATCACATACTAAAGTGGCTAACACCTGGCTACTATTATTGTGCAAGGATTTTTTTTTTTTAAAGGACTTAATGTTAATCTGTTTAACAACAAAAAAGTTGGTTGTTCTGCTGTACTAGCAATGACCTTAACTTCATTAAGTTTGATAAGAACATGTGTATTTTATTCCCTCTTTCTTCACCTTAGTTATGTTGCTGTGCCTCAGGTTCTGGAGAGTACTATAACCAAACTCTCCATGTAGAATTTCTTCAGACCCAGAGCCAGAGAAATAAGTTGGCAAACACATGACTTTCTGATGGATGTGATGTGAACTTGAATTACTTGGCATCCATTATACCAGCTGGGCCTGGGCTACATTTTAGACCAATTTCCTTTTGATCTGTCTTGCCTCGTGACTCACCTGCCTGATCAAGGCACAGGAAAAGATTAGGTCATGGATAATTTGAAGCTGAGATTTAAGTTCATGTAGGTAGTGAAGTAGGAAGTTGATACAGTCTTGTTCTCAGCTGACTCCAACTCCACCTCACCCTTGGCTTGATCAATACCAGCTCTTTAACTAAAGGTTTAACTTTGTTTTCCTTTCAAAGGCCCCTGTGACCACCCCACACACCCCATGACTCCTTCAGTGGTGAAGGTGTGCTTTTCTGTCATGTCATCCTTGCAGCATTTCAGGAGGAGCCTTGTGTTGAAATAGATGAGTTCCGGCCAATCAGTGGTGCTTAGCACTGAGGTGTTCAGAAATGTGTCACAGACATGGAGAAAGTGGGACAGTTTGATCATGTCATATACTAAGACAATTGGTCAAATTAATGGGGCATGTAGACCTCAGCATTTTTAGGGCTCACTTGGTTTCTTGGAAGGTGGGCAGCATCTCTGTAAGTTGATAATGGTCCTCCAGCCACTGATAGGCTCAGGTGAGCCTGGAAACTGGCTTTGGTAGTCTGCTTTTGTCTCCCCCTTTTGCTGCCTGGCCCGTCTTCTGACTTGCTCCCAAACTTTCTCAAGGCTGTATGTAGGGTCCTGTGCTGACCCTTTCCTGTGAGGGGGCACACCCCTAGGAGGTAGGTCCCTGACAAGACAACCACAGATTTGGCAGTACCATGGCCTTTGCTTGGTAACCTTGGACAGAGTCAATATATATATATATATTGGTTTTGCTGGATCTTTGCTGTGCGGGTTTTTCTCAGAAAGGACTGCTCTAGTTATGGTGGAGGATGATGACTAACATCGTGACTGATTCGTGAAATTAAGCAGCTGGAACTCTTCTTGGTTGAAAGATATCTGACTTTCTCAACTTCACCTTGGGAACAGGAGCCACAGTTAAGGGTTCCTGTGTGGTGAGGGGCTTTCTGGTGATGGGAAATACTGTAGGTCCCAGCTTCTCTAGAGTGGGACAGGGGACCTGTGGAAATGCTCTGACCTGATTTCTCCATCTGGGAGGGGCTGGGGGCAAGGCTGGTGACAAAAAGGTGGGCAGTTTTTAGGGTTTTCTTTTTGGGGTTTTCTCCAGGATGGTTAACTTTCAGGAAGACAGGAGGTCTGGGAAGAGGAAGGCAGCCTTGCTGGGGAAAATGCAGGCCTGCTGAGGCATCCGTGATTGAGGCTCCCTCAGCTAGGTGCCCAGGAGGTGAAATACAGCTTCAGGAGACCAGGAGGGGCCCTTGCTTTCTTAGCCCGCCTCCTCCCTGCCTCTCCCTTGACACTGGCAGGGTGCCTGCCTAGGGTGGATTCAACATCTCTCCTAATGTGGTTTAAAAGCAATTCAAGAGATGGTATTCCCAGCTCCCTGCACTTTGTCCAGGAGGCTGGACAGACCTGTCCTTGCCCAGGAGTGAATGAAGAGGATCTTTGGTTTGAGGCTTACTGGCAATTCATTAAATGGGAAGGGAGAGGAGGAATGTGGGACACATCTTTCCAGCCTTCCGTGTGCCACCTGTCCTCTTCAGGCCACCTCCTTAAGAGGTCTTGTGCTGGGAGCCTTCGCTAAGCGCCCACAACTCTCCTGGCTCCTCAAAGGCCCCAGGAAGGGTGAGCCTGCCTGCTGATGCCAGTGTGGCATGGGTACTGGTGTCTGTCCACCTGGAGGAAGCAGGTGTTCAGCCAAGACCAGAGAGGTGGATGCCAGAGAGGAGACCGTCTCACAGCTGCTTTGGGCTTCCGGAGTCAGGTGGTTCCTGCGGGTCACTGGCGCCACTGGGTCTCCAGCGGGTTCCTCCAGAGATGTCTGGCCCCAAGCAGTGAGGTGAGGGTTCCGGGCTCTTCCAGGATTAGAAAGCCGGCCAGCCTGTCCTTCGCTGAAACTTTTGCGTTCTTAGAGCAGCTTTAAGACTCGCTGCAGCCGAGACTGGCAGCGCTTATTTAAAATTCCAGTCTTGCTCCCGAGGGCTTTGGCCTCCATCTCCACCTTTAACACCGGAGGACTGGGGGCGCGGTTCCTTCCCACTCCGCGACAGGTGTCGCTTCAGAGCGGGAGTTTTGGGCACAGAGAACGCGGTTCCACCTCACCCCCGGGGGGCTGGATGTATTTAAAGCCGACCGGCCAGGAGGGGCGTTTTGGGAGAGGGTACGTGGGCGGTGGGAGCCGGGTGCGATGGAGTGAGGGAGGAGCCAGCCTGCAGATTTTTCTGGAGGAATCAGACCCGATGTCTCCAGAGCGGCCCTTCCCCAAGGGCGGAACGCTTTTTTCTTCGAATGTTGTTTGGAAAGGGGGTTATAGAAGCGTGTTTGGCTCCGTGCGAGGCGACCAGGGGCTGGGTGCGTGTGAGTAGTGAGGAAGCTTGCTGCCCGCTGCTCCGGGGACCCGGCCCCTGCGCCCTTGGGAACCCTTCCCGGGCGAGGGCGGCGGGGACGACGGGGGCAGCGGGCCTCGCCGCGGGTACGCGCGGGCCGGCCCTTCCCTGCCTCCACTGGGCCCGGCCCGCCCGTGTCCCAGCTGCCCGCTTGGCCGTCGGGTCCCCGGGCGCGCGGGCGCCTCGACGGCTCCCCCTGCCGGAGTGCCGGGTCCCCCAACCCGCACCCGGAGGCTCCGGACTAGTCCTCCCAACTTGTTCTCTGCTGTTAACTAGTCGCGCTGCCGGAACGATGGGATGGGGTTGCCACAGCAACCAGACTGGACGTCACAATCCGGGCATGTGTGCTGCCCCCCCCCGCCGTGCCGCCGTGCCGCCGGCTCTGCCGCCGCCACCTCGGCCGGCTGCGGGACTCGGGCTTCGGGGCGCGGTGGGCGGAGCAGCCCGGGCTTTGCGGGGAGCTGGGCGAAGGCGGCCGAGAAGAAGGGGGTCGAGACGGGGGGGTGGAGGTTTGGGGGGGTGGGGGGGCAGGCGGCCGCCATCTTCTCGCCGAGGCCGCCTCGCCCGCCTCGCGCGCCCGTCCGGCAGCGCACGGGTTAAGGCTGGCACCGCGCCCGGCGGGAGGGGGGGCGCCCACCTCCCCTCCCCCCCGTGCCGGGCATGCGGGGCCCGCTGGGCACCGAGGAGGAGCTGCCGCGGCTGTTCACGGACGAGATGGAGAACGAGGACGAGATGTCAGGTGAGCGGGGCGCCAACTGCGCTCGGGGCCGGGGCGGCGGGGGGCGCGGGGACCGGCTGGGCCCGGGGGCCGGACCTCGCGGGCGGCGCTGGCGGCGCGCGGGAGGGGGCGCCGGGCTGCGGGCTGCCCTCCCGCCCTGCTGGCGCCGCGCGGCCAAGGGCGCGGGGCTGGGCGAGCGCCGGGGCGCGGCGCGCGGGCCGCCAAGGGCGGGTGCTATCGGGGCCACCCTGGCCACGGTGCGGGAGGAGGACCGCCGGGGGCCTGCGCCGGGCGCCCGAAGCGGGGAGGGGGCGCGGCGCCGCGGGGGTCAGCCCGTGTGCCCTTGAAGGGGGCGGGAATCGCGCTCGGCTGCTGGTGCTGCGCACACCGCGCTCTCGCCCCGCACCGCGTCCCCTTGCCCTCGCGGGGACCGGTGGGGTTGGCGGGACCAGATACCGGGACCCGGCCTATCTCGGCTCCTGGGTGGGCTGGGTGGGGCCCGGAGCGGGCGGAGGACGGGACGGACTAGGGGACCGGGCGAGCGCCCGGGCAGGGGCGACTTCCCTCCGGGCCCACGAAGGCTCCAGGCTGAGGCGCGCGGGCTCGGACTCCGCTCCCGGTTCCCGGCCGCCGAGTGCCGCGACCGCCGCTCCCCAGCACTTTGCCCGGGCCGCCGGCGTCGTCCTGGCGCGCCCTAGCGCCGGCCGGCGTCTCCAGCCCGCGGTCGCCCGCCTAGTGGCGTTCCCAGCCCACCCTGCTTTGGCTCCGGGCCTGACTCCCAGGGCCACCGCCCCTGCCTTTCCATCCCTCTCCTGAATTCAGCAGAAAACAGGGCTTGTGCCTCAGGGGCAACCTTGCAGGATCATTCCTTACTTAACTGCTCACCGTGTGTTTGGGACGTTCCCCTCCCGGCACAGCTGGGCTGGGCCTCACACTGTGGACCGGCCGTCTTCGTTCCCTTCCGGAGGACTTTGTCACATCTCAGCGTCCCCACACCAAGTCACGGCCCCTTCTGGCCTCCCAGGGGACTTGCGGGAACTGCGGGAGCCCTTCCTCGCCCTTGAGTGTGCTGTTTGGCCCCCGGAGCCCCTTTTCCAGGGGCAAGAGTATTCCGCACATTGGCACCTCAACTCCTGCATGCAGGAGGTGAGAAGGGGAGGACCCAGGTGGCAGTTCTGTCTCTTCCTAGAGGGGATTCCCACCAGGTGGCCACGCCCACTGGGGGGGCCTCCTCCCCCCTCCCCACTTGTTTGCTTCCTTTAACATGGTGACTGGGGCCTCACCCTGCTCTTCAGATAGTTTGGCCAAGTTTGCAAAGGGCCTGCTGGGGTGAGGGGATTGGGGGTGAGGTGGCCCCACATGGGCGGAGTTGCTTGGACAATGGTTGACTCTTAGATCCTGGGGGCCAGGGAATTAGGCCCATTTCCTGGAAGGGAACAGAGAGGCCCAACACAGGCACTGAAATTCAGGGCTGTTTTCTACCGCGGAAGCTGGCTTAGTTTGGAAAGCTGGTTACTGGCTTCCTTGGTGCATGGAACTCGGGGCGTGGCCCTTTGTGGCACTGGTTGATGGGGGCAGTGGACAGCTGAGAGTGCACGAACAGGTTTATTTCCAGGACTTTACCAACCCCCTGATGGGGTCCTCTGTCCCCCTGTGCCATACTCTCTGAATCTCTCTGGTTGTGTCAAGGCTCCGAGAGTGGGGAGAGGAGGCGGCCAGGGAAGTGCCCCCAGGCCGATGGGCACCCAGCTCACTCCTTTAGGGCCAGAGGGCTTGGGCCTTGGCCAGAGTCACCTGCCCACCACCTTGTCTCCCTCCTGCTTGCATCCATTGTTCTAGGCAGGTGTGGGGGGTAGGGTTGGCCCCAGGGTCTCTAGGAAGCCCCTCAAAGCCTTGCCAAGCAGAGACTACAGCTTGTCTTTCCACAAGACCAGGTGCTTGACCCCAGGGAGACACCTTCAGAGTGTGTCCTGAGCCTTCCTGAGCTCCTAGCCCCTCTCTGTGTACCTGGTCCCAGCCACTGTCCCCTCTACCTGGTCCACTGCAAAGCCTCCTAACCAGTCCTCACTGACCACACTCCGCTCGGCAGCCAGGGTCACCTCTGTAAACACAAAGCAGACCCCAGCCCACTGGTGTGAGCTGATTGCAAAACCCCTGTTCTACTCCACCCCCAGTGCCACTTCCCACCTCCTTGCTCATGTATTAGCCTTCTAGATTCTTCTGGAACACCCCAGGTTCCATCCTGCCCTGAACATTGACTGTGACCTCTGCCAGACCCAATTATTTCCCGGCTCATGACTGCCTCCTTCCTGCTACTCAGGTCTCCAGCTCCCGGTTGAGCGTAGGCCCACCCCTCTCATTCCCAGGCCCGTTTTAATGCTTCCGTTTCTTGACAGTATTTCCCTGGAATATTATCATCAGCTGACTTGCATCAGTGGGCTTCCCCCCCTTGAGGTTGACCCTGTGACCACCCACTGTGCCTGGCACTGTGGGTGCTGGAGAGAGGGGCTCATTCTTGGGGTCTGAGGGTTGGGGGGGTCCCTGGGTCACCCTGACCTCTGGACATGATGACAGCCTCAGCCTAGGCCTCGAGTCTCTCCTGAAGTGCTGGCTGCCCGGGCCCCTGTCCTCCCCTTCGGCCTCTCTGCAGCCCTCAACCTGAGCTGGTGACCGTGGCCCACAGGGACGCGGGGCCGGCAGGTCCGGCATGTGGCAGTTTGCTGGTGGGGGAGCCGGTGTACTGGGAGCTGTCACGCCAAGTTTTCAATCTGCTGTGGTGGGCTCAGTACTTGTCACATCTACTTCCCTCGGTCCGCCTGTCTCCCACCCTCCTCAGCAGTGTTCTTGCCACCCAGATTTGCCCAGGCCAGCTCTCTGGCATTGAGGCCAGTGGGTGAGAAGGAGGGAGGAGGGGGGCTTGGAGGAGGAGGGCAGGGTGCCTGCTTCTTGGGCGCAAGGACCCTGGCTGCCAGAGTCTCTTGGGGATTCAGTGGGCTAGTCCATGAGAGGGCTTGAGAGAGTTAGTGGCTCCACCTCTGCTGCTTGTTTGTGGCCTGACCTTGGGCAGAACACCTGGTCCCTCTGCCTCAGTGTCCCCACTTGTGGAATGGGACTGTAGCACCAGCTACCTCATAGAGGGGTTATTATGAGGACTGGTGAGATGGTGCACGTGGAACATGTAGGTCACAGTGCCCAGCACATAATAGGTGCCCATAAAGTGTGGCTTATAATTAGCACCATCCAAGGGGGGCAGTTGGCCTGCTTTCCCCAAGGAAATGCTTCCAAGACATGTACCCTCATCTGGTAAGCTGGGGGCAGGGAGCCTGGGCTTGAGGGGCTGGAGGGAGGTGGAGAGGAAGGGAGAAGAGGGCTTGGCATTCCAGGCCTTTTCCTCAGAGGTCCCTGCCTTGTAGGCCCAGCCTTTCCATCCCACACAGTCAGAGGGGGTGGGTTTCCTAGAGCTGGTGAGTCCAGCTTCTCTCCTGGCCAGGTAGTAGGACCACTCTGGCACTTGCCTGGCCTGTGCACCCCTAGCCCACAGGACTGGGCCCCATCTAGGCTTCTGTGGGCACAGAGAGCAGGAGGGAGAGAGCACCATGATTCCTAAAAGTCTGTGTCTTCTTAACCTGTTCCCCTGCCATTGGGGAAATGGTGAGAGCCTGATCATATTTAATACGTTTTGCTGAGAGGAGGGAGGCACAGTATCAGCACTCTTTGATCAGTGGCTTGACCTGTGAGAGACTCCCCTCATTCCCAATTGATCTATTATTTCATCGATTCATTCAATCACCCACCCACTTGTTCATCCACCCATCCATGTATGTACCCTCTGAACATCTACCCATCCAACCACAAAACTAACCAACTAATCATATACACCCACTGCCCACTGGCTCAGTCATCATCCATCCATCCATCCAACCCAATCTCCATCCACCCATCCATCTATTTATTCATTTATCCATCCATCCATCCTCCTGGTGTGCTGCAGTCCATGGGGTCACAAAGAGTCGGACATGACTGAGTGACTGAACTGAACTGAATCCATCCATCCATCCATCTGTCCACCTATTCATTTATTTATCTGTCCAGTCCATCCACCCATCCATTGGTCCATTCATCTATTCATCTATCTGTCCATCCATCCATCATCTGTCTATCCATCCATCTACTCACCCACCCAGCACAGATTTCTTGCATGCCTTCTCTGAGCCAAGTACTGAACATACTATATGGTGTCTGAACTTCTGGGGGTTTTGCAGGTAGAACTTTTGAGACTTTCTGCCTTTGGCTCTGTCCTTATTTCCCTCTCTCTGTTTGTCTTCTCACTTTGTCCTCCTGTCTGTCCCTTTGTCTGTTCTCCAAGTCTGTCTTCCCTGAGTCTTTGCTTCTCTCTGTCTGGCTGTCCCTCTCTTTCCCTCATGTGTCCCTGGCCCTCCAGGGTTCTCTCCCCATCCCCTCCCTCCTGCCTCTCTTTCCTCCTCCTCCCTGGCAGTGCTGTGGGCCCTCACCCTCCTCCCTCCTCACTCTTTCCGGGCCCCAGTCCCTTAGGGTAAAAGCCTGCCCTGTTCCCCCCTCCTGCTGCCTGCCCATGGTGCTCAGGACTGACTCTTTGATGAGACGCCAATGAGGTGATGTCTGGGTTTTGTTAAATGTCATAAATAAATTATTAATCCTCTCCTGAGCAGAAGTACTGCCCCCCCTCTCCTGCCCCTGCTGTTATCTGTGGAGGCCCGTGATTTGGGGGCACTCTGAGGACTGATGGGAACCTTAGTCTTGGTGGCCCCTCCTTGGTTGGCCCTAGAGTGGCTCTGAGAACCCCTG